GTATCTCTGATAACAGCTGAACGAGCCATGAAATACTGGAGAGAAATATACGTGTATATTCTCAATAAAAATGAATAGCCATGTCGCATCAAATTGGCTATGTGATGCCACTGTTGCTATTCAATGGTGTCGCCGTTTGTATTAAACGTGCTGCTGGCTGATGGCCATGATGCACATATGATATGTACCAACAAATATGAACGAAATCAAGTACACAACGTGTATTGTTGTTTGTATGTTTTGTGCGTGCATGTGCACGGAATGCGTTATGAATTTTATTAGCCTAAACATTTCCAATACTGCTTAACATTTGTGTATTTAATGTTGCATGTGCAATTTTTTTTAATGCATACATCCACATACACACACACACACACTGTTCATGAATTGCAACCATTAATAACCAATCAATTTTGCACTTCCTTCTCAATTTTATCATCGTCATTATGCTTCCGATTCGAGGACATAAAACGTAAATCATTAAACATTTAAAGATTGTACATCACCGAGCGCTCGCATCAATGTCGCCATTATATATTCACATCGATTTTGTACACATTTGATTTGGTTGGTAAAACTTCTCGTTCATGTGTGATTTATAGATTAAATTGATGCACTTCATTGAATCGAAATGGTTAATTTTCGTTTTTGAAATGCGAACATCGTAAACAACAGAATTGTTAAATTTTACTGAAGCTCCTCATTAATTATGATCAACTTAAAACCAGAATATACTTCAATGACATCAGCGGGTTTCATGACAAATAAATTTATTTTACATTTTTTTTTTTTTTTTGATTTCGGTAAATAACATTCTTTATTTAATAAAGTTGTAATTCGTTTGGTATCGTAGCTCATTATAAATCACAAACTTCTCTATTTTCTCACTCGCAACAACTTAGTGATTCATTAAAAATTGCAAACAAAATTTTCAACTTTATGTCCGTGTATGTATCATGTTGAAAATCGTGCGGTTTGGAATAAGTATTTATTGTTCGTATCTTATAGAGAGAAAGAGAGAGATAGAGAGAGATTATGTTGGTCATAAAGTTGACGAAATTTCATATATAGCAGCATACAATATCGGAAGTTCTCAGCGCTAGTTGCATGTTCGTGGTTTTTTTTTGCGATATGATAAACAACAAGAAAAAGATAGCAAATATCATTAACACCAAAGTGTGTGTGGTGCACATATGTCTTTTTTTTGTTCTATTTCAATATATACATACAGGATAAAAAGTGTTTATCAGCTAACATTTTGCTTATGAGAAAGTGTTTTGTGCATGCGTTAAATCACATCGACATCCAGTTTCAAATCCACGTTCACACAAATACAAACACACATATATGCTCTAATGGATGATTGCGTGTATGTGTACCAAATCAAACCAAAGCCAGCCCACTTCAACAGTTCTTCAGCACACTCAATAGCATCGCTCTCTCCGACCGAACATGACAATAGAAAATCTCATGCTTCGTCGTTGAGTTGTGTGTATGTGTGTGTGTGTGTAGAGTGGAAGCGTGCTGTGAATGAAGAAATGGGAGTGGCGTTCTCGTTCACCACTGAACAAACGATTGACAACACACCGAATAAGAAATAAACACAACCGGAATCATTTACACACTACACACTTTCAATTGGTATACTGGGTGGTGATTTTGCCGTAAGTATTTTGCACATTTATTTCTTCTTCTTCTTTTTTCTCTCGTGGCTATATTTTATATCTCGATTGGCTTTCTTTTTGCTCTCACTCGCTCGCAGTCTACATTCTGAACGCATTTCGACACAAAATTTAATTTCTCAACAATTCAAAATATTTTGTTTATGTATTTCAACCAACAACATTTGGTGAGGATTCTATCTCACGCGCGCCTGAATTAAACAATAGAAATCATAAAGCCTCCACGCACCCCGGGGACGACCGATTCGTCAAATAATATGCCTACTGCAGTACATTATTTCTCAGCAAAATTCACGCTTCATTTATTATTTTCAGCCCAGTTTTTTTTGTTGTCGTTGTTATTCATTCATTCATTCATTCTTTTTTCGAGTATTTATTTATTTAATGTTATTGTCACGATTTAGTGAAGCCACAAACTGTTCTGAATATACACACACATATGCGAACATGTTATTCGTTACATTCAGCTTCCATAACGGTCACACGTGAGAACAAGATTCACGAAAACGAGACTCGAACAAAGATTTTATGTTTCTCGAGCCACACACCAATTTACCACTTCAGCTCGTCACCATTTGTTTAAGCATGAAAATTAAACCACGCTGTAACAAAATTGTCATCATCGCATCGATATTTGAAACAACCAACAGTGTAAACCATGTGTTATAATTGGATTCCAATTTCCTTACAACAACCGTTTTTCCAATAAATAAACGGTTTTACACGAACAATATGGCACTTTTTACTCAACATTGAATCTATATGAGTGAAAAGTTGAGTCGAAAAAAAGATGTGTTTGCAACGGAGATTTTTCATGAAATTGAACATTTTTAATGCCATTCAACGTTGTAAGGACCTACTACCTATATAAAATTCTAAGCGTGGAGCTTTAATAAATGAAGATAAAACATTGACAAAAATGTTGGCTGATTATTTCCGTTGCGAATTTTCGATGAGAAAGTTTAACGATGCTGATGCAAAACAATGGTCTATTGAATAAAAATACAGCTAAGCATTCAATTACAAACAGGCACAAACGACTGTATCAAAAAGAGGGCGGTGGTTTTGTGCTCTTTGGTTCCTTTCTTGTTTTTCTCAATCTCTCGCTCTTTCTCTCTCTCTCTCTCTCTCTCTCGTCTCAAACAATATACGATAAACTGTCGTGGCGTGTCTGCGATTCAAAATGACTCGCGCATTTTGTGACTGACAAAAAATGAATTATATTTCAAACACGAGTGTAAAATATGATATAATAACGAAGCAAATAAATCTGAAATAAAATGTTTTCATCACATCGTTTTGCATTCATATTGTATTGAATTTGAATTTGAATGGTGAAGCTACTTTGTGTCAAACAAAGATACGAAAAATAGCTATTTGCCCAGAGAAAGGGGAGCGAATATTGTCAAACTCGACGTACTTGTACATAATGATGCTTTTTGGTTGTTTATAACACTGTGTATTGGTTACGTGTGTGTTTTTTTTGGCTCTCCCCGGTGTGCAATCGAAAAACATAAAGACATATCTGCTGATGTGTTCTCAATGGTGCTAATGTGAAAGCACATAATAATCTCTTCCTCTTCTTCTGGATTGCCAGAGAGCAGTTGATTGAATTGGTAAGTGTGATGCTGAGGAGTATAAGTGTGATAGCTAAAGCGACAGATAGAGAAAGAGAGATTGTAAAAAAAAACTAAAAAAAAAAACGTTAAAAACTACAACGGCATAGCATGAGAAAAATGAAGAAGTAGGAGTGTGAAAACAAAAGAAAAGATGTGATACACAAATGAAGAAAAATGGCAAAACACAAACGAAAACAAAAACAAGCGATCCACTCTTATTCATGTAATACTTCCCTCTAGCTCTAGCCAACCCAGAAATTCTCTGAACCATTCGACAGTATTGCATATTTCTCGCTCATACAGCGCACATACTGTCAAATTTATGGTGCATGTTGTTGATTTTTTTTTTGTTCGTTTCCGAAGCGTAGCGCAAGAGCGAGAGAGTGGATGTTGTTGGCGTTGTTATGATATAAACAAAAGAAAATATGTATGAGTTACGTTGAGTTGTTTTTACCCTCAACAAAATCAAACCAATCACTATGAAGAGTGAGAGAGTGCCAAGTATACGCGACGCTGACGACGGCGGCGGTGGCGGCAGTACCCAAAAAATAGGATGACAAAAACTCAACGATACAAAATGTTTGTACACATCCATTTTCCATTCACGAATAAGAGAGAGAAAATACGGCATTATATCCTCAAACCGTTGATGCACGCGCGCACTGTGTATGTGTGTGTGTGGAGCAAATATGATGGAGAGTGGAAATGGGACGAAGCGATTTTGTTTTGTCTATGTTTGCAGTGAAAACTGAACGTCATATAGTGTATAATGTGGAATAAAAAAGCAACAATATCAATTCTGTAGCTAGTTTTGGAAGCGAGGTTTTGCCAAATGGAATGTTAGACACACACCACATTGGAAAATTGATGCGTTGCTGAGAACGCTCACAAATTTTTGCTGATTTGGATATGGCGCACCCGACCAGATACAGAAACATATGAGAGCGACCGAATGAGTGTGCGTGCTGTTTGAATGATCACCACTTAGAGTGTTGTGTGTATGATGTTTTTGTTGTGCAGCGCTTGCATCTTGCTTAAACTTGCTCTTCTTTTTCGACTGTTGTTGTTATGTTGTTTTCTTTTTCATTTCATCCTTACTCAGTACTCTCTCGCTCTCTGTCTCTTTTCATCTCCCTTTTAATGTTTTCCTAACAATGATTTCTCCGGGTATTCTATTCATTCTTCCTCCATTCGTCTCATCCCGGTCCTGCGAATCCGAATGAGCCATTTGTTCGTGGCTTGTGTGTGTGCGTGTGAAATACGAGGAGGTATAACGATTGTGTGCGCTTGTGTTTGTGTTTCTGTTTTTCTGTATAGGTTTGCGTGTGTGTGTGTGTCGAGAGCGCTTTTCAATCGGGGCAAGAATTTTCGGGTACATAAATAACATACATATTTGTATATTGTTATTCTTATTGAACAGGATTGAATGATGATTATGTTGATGTGGTATCGTATTATGTGTTGTGCCATCTCGCTCACTCGTCGTGTATATGTTGTTGTTTTTCTTTTCAAATATTCGTATACCCATTACTTATGCTGACTGGTTGGTTGCTTGGTTGGCTGGCTGGTTGGTTGGTTGGTTTGGCTGCTGTTATATGTTTTTGTTTTTCGTTAAAATGCAAATAACAAAAGGAGGGAAGAAGGGAAAGCAGAAAAAAAAACAACACAAAACAGAAACAGCTATAGAAGTAGAAACAGCAGCAGCATCATCATCATCAGCACCACCAACAGCAACAGCAACACAGCAGCCATACCATCCGATGTAAATACGTTTATGTGCTACAAATTGTGCGATTACATTAGAGTAGTTTTGTGTGCCGATCGAATCACACACATCTCTTCAGTTGCTCAAGCCCGTCGAGAAAAAAAGTCCATAGAATCGTTTTTAGTTCTTAAACGTTGACATCGTTTGTGTCATCAAGCTCAATTCAATATAATTTATTTATCGTGCGCAACAGTTATACTTTTTTGTTCTCAAATTTTTTCTTTTTTTTTTGTGTATATCAACGTATAAAAGCAATTGATTATTATACGATATTTTTGTTACAAAGCCAGGGAAAAAAGAAGAAGAACTTTTTTGTGCGCGCATATCAAGCAACTTCATCATCAAAAATCAAACAGACAGACATTTTGTGAACCAAACAGTAAGAGCTGAGAAAAACCTTTGACATTGCCGATTGTGATCACGTCGTTAAAGAACGGAGGAATTAAACAAAGAATAACTTGACGAAAAAAAAAGAGTGCAAGTGTTTTTGGCAAGATCGTGTACATAGTCAAATGCGTAAATAGAAAATTTGCATTTTGTGACGAAAATTTATTTCCATATTCATTAAGTGTATGAAAGAGAGACATAGCCAAACGAACGGAGTAAAAAGAAAACAACAAGGCGAAAAGAGAAAGACGCAATCGATCACATTTTGGGGGAGAGAGAGACGCGGAAAATTAAGTATAGTGACTTGGATACAATATAAAACACAAGAATAAATAATTAAAGCGAACGAGCAAACAACGAATAACATTGACGTATAAGTTTTTTTTTTCTGTTCTTGTTCATATATTTATGTGTGTGCAAAATAATAATTGGAACGCGCGCATCGATACAATAGCAACAGCAAGTTAGAAGCAGATAGAAAATATTGAGAGCCTTCTTTGAACGAACGAACGAAGAAAAAAAAAACTCGAGAAAAAACATACGAATTTCGAATTTTTCCGCAATTTAATCAATATGCCATTGACGATGCCACAATCGGCACTTACAGCAGCACCACTACAATCGCAAACCGATTCAATAAATTCACACGAAAGTGCTTTCGTTCAGCAGTCTGTATCTTCAACGGCCATCAGTCCAGTACCATCATCGACAACATCAACTTCAACTCCGACGCCAAATCCAACGGTAATGTCATCGATTCAACCATCTGGTCTACTGTCACTCGACCATTATCGCTTTCAATTGTACAATTATGCGATGGCCGAACGATTACGTTGTGCCCAATATTCGCAGCCAATGCCACAAATTTGTTCAAATTATCCGGCAGCAGCGGCAGCCGCTCTAATGGGACCGTACGGTCCACGATTGGCATTGTCCATGTCATTGTTTCATAATCGGGTTTTTCAACCGGAAGAGCCAAAGCCACAGCATAGTTACATTGGTTTGATTGCGATCGCCATTTTAAATTCGCCCGAATGCAAACTCGTTCTATCGGATATTTACCAATATATTTTAGACAATTATCCATATTTTCGAAGCCGAGGACCTGGTTGGCGTAATAGTATTCGTCATAATTTATCGTTAAATGATTGTTTTGTGAAAGCCGGTCGTAGTGCAAATGGTAAAGGTCATTATTGGTCAATTCATACGGCCAATTTGGAGGATTTTAAAAAAGGTGATTTTCGTCGTCGTAAAGCACAACGAAAAGTTCGAAAGCATATGGGATTATCGGTGGATGATGACGGAACTGATTCACCGTCACCACCACCACTCTCAATAACACCGCCACCAATTTCAACGGCATTACAATGGATGAATGCAATTGGAAATCACCATGGCATGTTTCAACCGGGCATTCCTGAACAAAATCGCATCGGACCGATTCATCATCATCCGCATCATACACAACATCATATAACCGCAACGACAAAAGTATTTTCAACGGTATCACATCATCGATCATCGGCACGTAAGCGACAATTTGATGTTGCCTCATTGCTTGCACCCGACAATCATGACATCGACGAAAAACCAATTCGTACAAAAGTTCAAATCCAACAAATCACCCATTGTGATATTGAAGAAGATATTGATGTTGAAGAGAGCGAAGAAAGTGATAATAATAATCGGAGCATCTTTGATGCAGAACAATTTCATAGGCAACATAAATTACGTTTGTTTGTCGACGATGATACGGCATCGAATAACACAAAATCCGATATAAATCAACGATCAATTGGCGAAGAAACGGCAACAACCGATTTGGCCGAATACAATGAATCACAAGACGATCAAACAATGATGAAAACGAAAAAATGCACCCAATACTCGAGCACACAACATATGTGCGACATTGAAGATGAATCCATTCATTTACCATACAATTCAATCAATGACAACGATCATCAATTGGAAGTTGCACCGAAAATTCGACAACACTTGGATTTGGCAAATGCATCAGCAGCAGCGGCGGCGGCGGCAGCAGCAGCCGGCACACCAACCATTGATCCACGCATTTTGGTCAGTCGCTATTATGGTCATCGTATTGCAGCCATCAATTCGCAACAACAATACAATAATGCACATTAATACCGCGATTTGAATACGATCTACATCGCTCAATCACTTTATATCGTATTCGCGTAATTTTTTTTTTTTTTTCGAAAGAGAAAAAGAAAAACAAACTTCTATATTTGGCTGTCACTGTATTGAGAAAAATGAAGAAGGAGAAGAAGAAGAAGAAAATGAAAACAACCTCAAAACCATGGATATCAAATGAATATCCGAAATCAGGTCTAATTTAGTTTAGGAAACGAAAATAATCGAATTCAAGTTTAGTACGTCCGAAGGTTTTAACTAATAATGACTGGAACGACATATTAAGGTACATCACAAACACACACACACACACACTTCATGCTCGCTTCATTTTTACTTTTCATTCAACACTTTTTCAGTACTTTTTTCTTTAATTTACTGTGCAAAAGAATGTAGCTTTACTTTTTATTTTGATGCGATCGAGACTGAGGATGAGTTTTATTGTTTTTGATGTGGAAATAATCATTGGGCCACAAATATGAATCATTGCATTCGCACTGCATTCGCTATTGGTATAAACCATCTTCATTTTGATCGAAAATAATTAAATGAATTGTAATTTTGTAAATTCAGTGTTAATTAATGGCATTCAATATGGAATTAGTGTTTTGGTATAAATCCATTTATGGATGCTCAATTTGTGAAATCCTTAAAATAAACCAGTAGAATTTTAACAAAATATAAAACTTTTTTCAAAAAAAAATTAATGTTTATGTAAGAAAGTACACAGTTGTTGTAAGTACTCAAGTAATTACGGGGAGAATGGATTTTTCTTCTCTTGTCCGCAGGGGCAAAAATTCGTTGCTAAAATATAAAATAACAAAAAAAAATGTGTCAACCAGGAACAGTTTATGATAAAAAGTATATATATATGATCCAATAGTTTGTTAAGAGAAATTTAAAGAAAAAGAAAATTGAAAACTAAATACAATAAAAATAAATTCAAAATCCAATTTACGAACTTTATTATTTCTATGAAAGGAATTGATGCGTAATACTTGAATCAAAAATGTTTATTTGGATTTAAAGAATAATGATCTTATACTTTTTGGATATTATATAAAAATAAAGAGATATTTCTCTCACTTGAATGGTGAGATTTCTAAAGTGTACTTGAGCGGATAAAAACCAACACAACACTTTTTACAATGACAATCAAAAGAAGGTAAAACATGTGAAATGACCAGAAAAACGATAGATTAGAGATCGAGAGTGTGAATTCAAATTTGACAGGATATTTCTTTTATTTTTTGTTTCAAAAGAAAAAAAAACGAAACAGTTTAAAATACCGAGAAAAATCAAGTCCATCGAAGTTAATGAAAATAATACGGCTGTGTACTTTTGTTGCGAGATGAGACCAAATGCCTTGATACTTCTTTTTATTACGATAAAATACTAAGAATAACAACTTACGTTTATTTGGAGTATTTGGATTCATTTCTTTCAATATCAATCTCAAGTACACTCATTAAATGTGATCCCTGCTGTTATAGTATGTTTTCTTCTTTAATTCAATCAACAACAACTAGAAACAGTTGGATTGTTATTCTCTCCCTCTCTCTCTCTCTCTCTCTCTCTCTCTCTCTCTCTCTCTTTCTTTCTCACCTTTTTCTTTAACCATTCGCTTAACTTACATTTCGCCACTTCAATCGAAAATGATTCAGAGCATTAATACCACCACGATGGGATCAACAGGCGCAATGCATATGTATTAAACAAATGAATAGGTAAGTCAAGAAAGGAATCAGAAAAAAAAATCAATATGGTATATTACAGGGGAAAAATGCGTTTTTCTTCCGTTGAACAGCGATTAGTTTACAATTTTCAGTGCTTTGGACCTTTTATGTCTCGATATGTGTTTCATTTACTTCAAGGTGTGAATAATTCATCCACTTAAGTGTTATACAATGAGAACGCATTTGGTGAAAAGACAAACAATGAAGATCCAGAATCGAAGATTCCTTTTTTCCTCAATTGTGTGCTTTACTTTTGGTTTCGTTTTTTTTTTTCGGGAGAAAAAAATTGCAACAATTATGTCGAGTGGATGATGTAAGTGTTTATTTTTTCCAAATTTTCTTCTTTTAAAATGCAAACAGTGCCAACCATTCATTGTTGCACATTCATTCTACCGATTGATTCTCATAAAGTTGTTATTTTCACTCGAAAAATTGTGAATTGTGGGAAATAAAGTGGTTCGTTTTAAAGAAGATAAAAACATAAACAAAATCGAAAAACTTGAGCTCCGTCATTTATTATATTTCACAGATGAATTGCAAACATCAATTGAATACCCATTATAAAGAGTTTAAAGATTAACAATAGCAAGTATGCTAGAGAGCTCAAGAATCATTTACAATTAGATTAAGTTGTCAAAAGCGTTTAATTCTGTGTATAAAATCAATTTAATGACAATGACAGTTGATGATTTAATTGTGGAAATTATTGGCGCGTCCTTCGATTTCCTGTAATACGTTCAATCTGTTGCATTTTCCGTTTTTTTTTTTTTGGATTCAATTGTATTCATGCACAAATTTAGTGGCGATTATGTACAATATGGTATCTCAAGTAATTTCATTTTCTCAAAAGTGATATATTGATTGGACTATAGTCAATGCCGTGCTTTCAAATTCATTCTGAGAATGTTACTAAAGACATGAATTTGGTGGTGGTTATTCCCACATTTATTCTCTAACACACATATTCTATGTGGATTTTTCATTATAAGCTTTTTCTATCGCATTTGTTCATTAAATAGATTAATTCAATCAAGGACAGATTTTCAAGTTGATCAATTGTGTATTGCAACACGCGTATATCGGTGTTTCAATACCAAATGTAAATACGTGAACAAACTGAATATTATGCACCCTTCTTTACTTTATCGAGACACAAAATTACACACACACAATCTGTTTGCAGTTTTCGAGTTTGTATTGTCAACACGCTCATTTGGATCAATGAATAATGATGTGCTTTGGCTTTTGATGAATTAATAGTTGGTACCCTCTTGTTCAAGAGACGCTCCATATATTTTCAATATGTTTCACCCACTTTTACACGCGCACACTCAACAACATTTACATTTTCTATTATTCACCATTTAAATCCATGCCATCAACAATCACTTCACAGCTTTTTTTCTTTCGCTCTCTTTTTTACCCGCCTCATCCTTCATTTTCTTTTTCAATTCAACGACTTCTGATGGTCTATTGTCATTTACAATTGTTATATTTGGGATCATTCAAATCACCGCGGACAATGTCAAAAATGGGTTTTTGATAGACATTAAAAATTGGTTGTGAGAAAAGGTCTTTTTTGGGTTGAAATTCATACGGCGTTTTAGTTGACCATTTAAATAGATATTTACAGGAATTTTTGTAAAGAGATTAAAAGAAGTAAATAAATGCTCTATTTATTTTAACACTTTTCTTTCGCTAAGAAAATTGATTTTTGAATATTTTTGTTTTTTTTTTTCCTTTAAATCTCTCTGACGGTTTAAAGACCAATTTCCAAAATCTATCGCGATATATGAAAAGGGAGACATGCCGTGACATTGTTGCGATCGTGTTCGATACGGTCGCTTTTTGAATGTGCGTAACGAGCACCAGTGTTCACGATTTAATGTCCAAATTATATATGCCGCTGTTCGAGAGTCAGATGAGTGTGTGTGTGTGCTATCAAACAAATAAAAAGGAAAAATCCGTCGATTACGAATTTGTTTTGCTTTTTTTGGTTGCATTAACACCGATCATTGAACTGTAAATAATTTTTCCTTTTTACTTGAATGCGTTGCGTGTGCACACAGTAGAGCCGGGCGCTTATTCAAAAAAGCTAGTACATTCGTTCAGCGCAAAATAAATGTGCGAGTGCGCGAGCTCGTATGTTTTATTTGGGTATCGCAAAGAAAAATATATTTGAGAAAAAGTGCGTCAGATGGAAAAGTTGCCAAAGGGCAAATTCATGTTGATGTTTTATTTATTTGTCATTATGGTACAATTGATTATTCGACTGGCTGATTTTGCTTTCTGTTAAACAAACACAGAAATCTCACTTTGAATGACTTCTTGCCATTTTTCGTTCGCTCTTTCGTTTGCGGCACAATGAAAATTTGTTGATTCAAAACCGTTACAGTGATGAATTTGTATTTATTTTAATGAATGCTGGTCTCGAATGATGGACTCATTTTACTGGAAACATTTAATGTGTATATGTGTGTACAGTTTGAATAACATGAGAGAAAAAGTAAGAGAATGTACACATTTTTTACCTTCTATCACCAAATCTCCATAATATTTGTGTTTAGTTGACGAGAAAAAAAAAACGTGTCTAATGAAGGGATGATTGTGAAAATATTTCTCTTGATCCAATTCAATTCGGTGGAATTTTGAAGTTCTGATATTATCAATGTCAGAAATTAATTTCATCCAACAATATATTTTCGTTTCACATGTTTGATTGTTTTTTTTTTTTACCGATTTGCAATGTTTTTTCATTCAGTTTTCGGTTGCAACCGAGAGATATGCATATGAAACGCACTGCTCAACAGATTAAAACACATTATCAACGGATAATACCGTTGACTCTGCATGGAATGGCCAACAACAATACCGACTAGCTGGCATATGGTTCATTCAAAGGCTAAAATATTGTTGGGATTTGCTCTGGTTCTGATGAGAGATAAGACGCTGCAAATCCTCAAAATTCGTACGAATAACGTTGGGAATTATTTTTCAAAATCATTCTTTGCTTGTTCCTTCTTCCATCCTGTCCAACATGAAAATGACTTTGATGATTTCATTTTCTTTGTTCGACATCGTTGCTTCCTCACCACCCGGTTTTCCATAACCAAGACACAAAAAAAGTGGTGTCAAATTCATTTGTACACTTTTCTTCAATCGACAATGGACTGCTGAAACGAACTGCATTCAAAATACACACATTAGGATTATCGAACTTGCATCGAGTATATATTATTGCCCAAAAGATAAAGCATTCAAAGGGATTAAGTCAAATTAATACAATAATAAGTGAAAAAAGAAACGAACACACATTTTTTTTGTGTCAAAACGGAAAGGAGTAGCCAAAAGTAACCGAGAATCACACTGGGAATTTCTCAAATACTTTATTGCAATTTTTTTCATCTCTTTTTTCATATTCGCTTTCTACGCCTATATGTGCATTTGTCTCAGTCGATCCATTGAATTCAACAAGTGGATTAACTAGGCTAAGTAAATGATTTTAATGAATTTCCGAATGATGTTCGTCTTTCCGTCGGCAAGTGCACTCTGTCTTCCTTTCTATACCTCTGTCTTAATGAGAATGCCAAAAGATACACAACACTTCGTATCAAAGCATATATCTATTCGTTTCACAGAAATCATTTCGATTTTTATCATCGATGTAATTTGATTAGTATGAAAAATGGTTCCCACGATGGTGAAAAAGGATTGCAAATGATGCACCAAAAGTGTTTCATATAGAAAGAAATGGAAAGTCTAAAGGTAATAAAATCAAGAAAACGTCCACAAACTTTAGTCTATATCTCTTCATCACTTTCAATCGTACCATTTATAGGAAATAAGACTGATTTTGCATCAAAGATGCAAGCAAAATAAAGAATGTTCAAGAGAAAAGCCACTTGATTTGTTTTTTTCTTTTACATCAGCAAAAAAAAGAAATTAAATGTCAGTCATTGAATGCCATAAAATTTGAAGGAAACTAGGGGATAACCGTGAATTGCAGATCGAATAATTTATAATAATAAACGCTATTTCTCTCTATTTTTCACTAATTCTGCTAGTATTTCTACTAGTTTGTTCTAATACTGCTATTTTTTGCTAATTTCTCTAGTACGTCAAAAATATTGCATACGTCAGATTGACAGCATTATCGAATAACTGAAATGTGTTTACGTAAATGTTTCAAGTTGACACTTTCAACGTGTATATTTGAAGCAGACACTAGCGTATACGTTTTCAGTAAGAAATCTGTCATCAAATCTACATTTCCGATTGCAATTCGTAAATTGTAGTTAATACAGATGAAACGTGCTTGGTTACGTGCCATTGAATATATTTTTATTTAAAAATAAGAAAAAGCGTATTTAACTACATATTTTGATACATTTTAGTTCAACACTATTCAATTCGTTTGTTTTGTGAATTTTATTTTAATTAATTATTTCAATATATTCAAGAATAAATGCTTACTAAAGTATATACGTGTACAGTGCTAATTCTGCTATTTATTGCTAATTTTGCTATTTTCTTCATGTAAATTTCCCTATTTTTTTGCTAATGTGCTAATTCTAATTCGCATGGATATCCCCTAGGAAGGAAATCATTCAAAAACATTTGTACATAAGTGTATACATACAAACATAATTATATATGCGGCAATAACCGACTCTGACACATTCAGAGAGCACACACTAAAAGCAATTTTATCGAATTAAGCTAAAACACACACTTTCGGCATGTGAATTTTTTTTATTTTTTTTGTTTAATTAAATGTATACACATTGTGTAACACCACATCGAGACAAAGCAGAGACCAACACACATTTCTGAATTGGCACTGTTATTTTGATTAAACATGAAACTAAACAAACCACAAACATTGAATGATAACTAAGTATGCAAAAATTCACTATCGCACAGTTTAAATGTATGCAAATTGAATTGAATATTCAATGTTTTGTTTCGACGAATTTAATGAAAATGGGAATGTTTCGATTTGCATGATTTTTTTGAATGACATTAATTTTACTGTGAAACAGGCCTCTATTTGCCTATTGCTGTGAAGTCTATTCAAAATGGATATATTTCTTTCGTATTTTGTCCAAAATTACACCAAAGACGATCGATTTTCATGTGAAAGACCCGCTAGAAATACTATATATTTACAATAATCTGAAACATTGAACACGTTCGATAGAAATTATTACTAATTTAAATTGGAGTAGACATAGTTTTGAACAAAACTTTGAACTTTTTAACAGACGTGGTAGACTTTGCGACGCTATCTATTCGTATTTTCTCAAATTAACTATTCTGAATGGTAAAGTTTGAAAAGGCTAAAATTCAGCTCAAACTTTAACATGTTTAAAACCGATTTTAAAAAAAAAACTTTTTACACAAAAAAAAATCCTTCTTAAATTAGTCTCTGCATCGGCGAGAGTGTAAAAAGTGTATTTATGTTTATGGAATACAATGTTAAAAAAGGAGAATATAGGCAGGAATGTATATAAACAATTTTATTATTTTAAAACACACAATGATTTAGCATAAATGGTCAAGAAAAAGAAAAGGGCATACGAATAAAGTGAGAAACGGCAATACCAATAGAAAATAGCAAAAAGGCTCTTCGTTGATCGTGTCACAAAAGAGATGTTGATGTTGTTTCGTGGTAAATCGAAACGAAATATGACCAAACAAAAAATAGTTTAATGGGCTATAATAAGCATGTAGCGAGTGCGATTGATGTGTATAGAAGTTGTGAATTCATAACACAAAAGCAAAACACGGCACCGCCAACACATCACACAACATTAAAAGGAGCATTTGATGTGGCTCATTTTCTCACTTCGGCGAATCAGTGAGAGTAGTTCATTTCTTCGGTGCGTTTATATTGATCCGAAAACTTTTCATTTGTAAAATGAATGGCGGGCCAACAAGATGAAAACGGTTTGCTTCGTCATGATGCTGTTGAACGATGGATTACTTCAAACAGAAAATGGTTGAATTAATTTAATAATATGGTTTGGATATCATCACACAAATCATCTTAAATAGTAAACGAAAATTCATATTATAAACGTGTCACACAGTCTGTATTCGGCGCACCATCAACGAAAACAAAAAAAATGTAAATGCGGTATGGAAAAAAGAGAAATTCTTCATGAATAAAAGTCATCATAACACATTTTGTGCTCATACGCGCGCACATTTAAAAATATATTGTTTAATAATGTATTAAAATAAATTGTATAACCGTTACAAACATTTTTACAGATGAGAAATAGTAAGTGAAGAGAGAACTCTTGCATTTTATTTTTCAAACGGAATCATCAATTAAAAGCAACATCTGTTCGATCGTCAAACGCCAAAGCATAATATTGTGTTTGCAAAAAAAAAAAGAATTTGCTTTCTCTATTATTTTCGTAATGTTCTGAGAAACACAAGGAAAGAAAAGAGTCAAATATTCCATTGTCGCACTAAAAAAAAATTCTCCAATTTTTATTGGAATTTTAACTTATTTCTCACGCAAGAAAATGTGCCACACTTTCATTAAGTGTCTACTCTCTTGAATTTTTTTCATAATATTTTCTATTTTCGTTGTTGTTTGCACTCAGCAGAGCGAGATAAAAATGGAGAGAAAAAAAAATAATTTTGGTCGCGCAAAAATAAAATCGAGTGACTTTTTTTTTCGTCAAATTGACACGTCTTGGAGCACGTCTCTATTACACTCTTTCAAGTACTTAACAATGGTGTTAAGTTCAAACATAAAATGTATGTGTATGTAACTGGCTTGCTTTTACCTTTAATACCACGCAGCCATTCGGTGACGTCTCGCAAAAGAATGAACATGAAAATCGAACAGATGAAGAAAAAAACAAAACCACTTAAAATCTATCCAGACATTATTCTCAAGTGTTAAATCGACACGAATCGATCACGATGTATTATTGAATATTGAACGTTTATAAATAAATATTTGTTTATAATCAGTTATTTGTTTGGGATCGATGATGTTGGCGTTCGAAATACCATCATATTTAATCAATACACGATCGTATCTATTCTGTATACATATAAATTTCAAGTGCATTTAAATGAAATGTTTGTATATTGTCGACATTATTTACATACATGTGTTTTTTATTCACAATCAACACTCGTTCAGCACTTAATAACGTTATATCGACGATGTGTCTATTAATTTTTCTGTTGTTGGTCAAATGTTTTGTTTTGTTTTGTTTTTTTTCCTCTCGTTTTGTTTCGATATCATGCAACGCATATCAATCACAAAGTATCATCATCGCAGACGCATGCAAGTAAACACTTGATTGTATTCGATATAGCCACAAAGAGAACGCCAGACTTTCGATCTTAACGAAAATGAATCGGTAAAATTGAATTACGGTTTTTTCTTCTGTTCTTGAGAACGATGCCAACCATTCAATAAACACTATCAGTATCGATCATCGCATCGATTTCGATAAGTTGGGAATTCTTGGAAAATGTCCCAAGTCAAGAACGCCGATAATATTTTGTGTGGTCAGGGAAAAGTGCCAAAAACTTTCTGATTTTTGATTTTTTTTATGTTTTTTTTTTTTTTTAATTGAAGTTGTTCTCTGTTTATTTATTAGTTTTCATAATCAAATATTTATTTATTGAGAAATAAAACTAAATATAAAATTTATTTGTACTTTAAGTCAATTTTATTAAGATTTTTTTCTTTGAATTTCACTAGTCAACACAATACAATTTTATCGATTGTTTTTAACAATAGCAAATTTTCGTTGAAAATTTGCCTTATTTTAAATAGGTTTTTTTGGTTCGTTTACCAACTGCTTGGTGCTGGATACGAGTAGCCGCTTGCTGGAGATGGGGCGGCTGCTTGTGCTACAGAAGGGGCTCCATAAACTGGTGCTGGAGCAGCAGCTGGGGCGGCGTATTGTTGGGCATGGGCAGCGTATTGTTGGGCAGGCGCGGCAGCTGGTGCGGAGTAAACGGGTGAGGGTGCGGGTGCTGATTGTGTAATGATCTACAAGAAAAATCAATTTCATTTAAAAATTAAGATTGAAAGTTGGACGTATGACAATTCTTCAAAAATGTTCAATTGAATTGTTAAATGGAAGTTAAAGTCAGTTTCTTACCTTGATGATTTGTGGAGCTGGTGCGGCGGCAGCATATCCGCCTGATGAGAAACTGCTTGATGAAGCATATCCGCCTGATGAGTAGCCTGATGAAGCGTATCCACCATCGATGACCTAAAGAATGATAACCAAATTGTTGCAATCAATAAGATAAATCGAATCCATTTTTATCACATTTGTTGACAATAGTCAAAAATCATTATAAAAAATAAATGAAATATGGAATAGTACCTTGATGATTTTAACTGGTACTGCAGCAGCAGAAGCACCGTATGAATAACCGTGTCCGTGTCCATGTCCGTGTTCGTGCCCATGTCCGTGTTCGTGTCCATGTCCACCGCTTACTGAACCACCATTGATAATCTGATAATAAACAAACAAAAAAAAATCATCAATAAGTACATCACGTTTTGTGTTGTTTCAATTTCAATATAAAAATACATTGATCGAATGCTTCATGTGTGTTCATTTTTGAACGGAAAGTGTGTTCAACAGACAGTAAAAAGTCTTTCCTCGAAAATAGATCGATTTGAAGAAGGCATTCGATTTGAAAAACATTATAGGATAAGTAGTAAATTTTTGAAATCATTGCAAACCTTGATAATTTTGGTTGGTGCAGCTGGTGCAGCGGCAATTGCTGAGGATCCGCCACTTGACCATCCACCGCTTGAGCTTGAACCTGAGCTGCCACCATTAACATGGATTATTTTTACAATTTCATGTGGCTGAACGTTGGCTGATCCTGCTGATGATGACGAGCCTGACCATCCACCTGCTGCTGCCGAACCACCATCGATATTGATAATTTTAACAACTTTGACTGGTTTCGATGAAGATGACGACGATGATGATGATGATGATGAACCGCTTGAGCTACCGCCCAAGAAAAAAGCTTGTGATGCGCAAACGCAGAGAGCAAGGACAACGAGCACCTTTGTTTAGAAAAATTAAATGTTTTGTCAAATTAGTTTCAATTGAAAAGTTCACATTGCAAACAATTTTCACAAGAAATGCACTTTAAAAATATGGATTAAAATAAAAGTTCTTAATTCAATGTAAGTAAAGTATAAAAAATCACAAAAATCACACTGTTTAAATAAAAATCCACGGAAAGTACCTTCATTTTGATATTTTTTGAATTTGTTTGTTTTTTTTTGGTAACACTGAATATTTGGTCAAATGACTGATATCAGACGACTGATACTTGATTCGATCAAACACTTGGATTTTATACAATTTTTTGAAGATAGCCCACCAAATTTTCTTTGGCGAAGCGCATCAAACGATTGACTCTCTCCCAAAAAATGTATTAGCTAAAAATCAAATTATCCAAAGCCTAGTTTGACGGTACGACATTATTATGAATAATTGATTTCGCCAAAAAAAAAAAAACGATAGAGCAAAAGAGATGAAGAAAAAAAAATTCATAATTCGACTGTTTGACATAAAATTATAAATGATTCGTATGCGTTTTAAATGCCTATGTTGTAAATCGATTAATTAAATATGCGTTGAAAGTGAAATTGAACGCATATTGTAATGTATCCATACCACAAATAGCCTTTGCCAACACAAAAAATATTATCAAAATGAGATACATAGATGATGTATAACATTATGTTGTAACATCATCATCATTATGCGTATAGACCTAGCGGAGATTACATTTTTTTATACAACACACAGATTATGCGTGGAGTCTGTTTAACGTATTAATTGAGAGAGAGAGAGAGAGAGAGAGAGAGAGAGAGAGAGAGAGCGTGTAATACTTTGTGAATGAATGAAATTTCAGCAATGCGGACATTCGATCAAATGCCTCTATGGCATTTGCATTTCTCTCTTATTTGATTTTTAACATATTCAATTCTCAATATTAAACTCGAAAAACTTGGGATAAATTTATTCCATTTGTGCAAGTCCATTTGACCATAAACCAGAAGATAGCGATTTTTTTTATGGAAATCACATAATTAGACTTTATGTCTGTGAAAATGAAAATCAATGATAACCCTTTTGCGACAGATAAAATGAATAGAAAAACGAGTTTTTTTTTACTCTTCAATCGTAATCGCGGCGGTGGCTTTTCACTTTTCGCTATATTTTATGGCTATTACATGAACCTTTGAAATTGGAAGTTTATTCATGATAAATTTATGTATGCGTCAAAGAATGCCTTACCGGTAGGGCCATATTTCATTAGACACCGTACATAAATGGAAATAATTGAATGTATTGGTTAGACCAATGCTAAAAATGTATAGTCTTAATTATTGTTCGTAGCACCAAATTTCTGGGTCAAAAATCAATTGATGACATCCATTTCCCATTGAACATTATGCGAGTGAATTAATTTTCTTCCCATTTTAACAATTTTATGAACTCTTATGAAATCGATCAGTCCGACACTTATAACATAAATACTTTTTTATCGTTTTTGGACATACACACAATTATACTCTGATATACTCTGCATACGCGTTGACATAGGCTTGAGAATTGTGAGATTTTTGATCGATTTGCATAATCTGTTTCACTAGGCCAACTTTCTAACCATATAACCAGTATCAACCGAAATATAAGTACATAAAACTCAGAAACGATGTCAATCGCGATTATCTCACGATGTGTGTATATACATCAATCTAATGACACCTTATGGCATCTTAAAACTGGCTTAATAATATTAAAATTTACGGCATCACAACAAGCAGAGTTGCAATCAGAGTTTGTACAAAGAACTTCATTGTTTTGTTCTTTTTTTGGTTAATAAAATTATGTTGCCAAAATAATCAGCTGGTGTACATGTTAGAAAATGATTTTAATATTCACTTTCGTGTTGAATTTTTGAAAGTGTGTATCATTTATAATAGAATCGGTAGATTTTCCCGATTTAAAAAATACAACCAAACAAATGCGAACAATTGTGATTCTTTTAATATTTATGACTACAAATACTCAAATTTTCCACGCAATTGTTTTGTTTGCCTCGTTTATGGTCCACAATAATCTCTATTATTCCAATTCGATTTTTTCAACTAATTGAAATCAACGATCGCTCTATGATTACGTTCGTAATTTCATACATTTTTTATATACATTATGATTTCTAAAGCATCTCGTTAATTATAATCGATTTTAAATTTAAGTAATTCGCGTGTGGAAAAAAGTGACTGACTGACTGGTTAGCCTGAAATCGACTGAAATTGAATTTTGTTAACTGAAGTCGTCTACCCAGTCGACTTTAGTCGTCTATGTATCTCATTTTAAGAAGATGACAAATTTGGGATGTTTTTGTCTATAGTCAACTGCGATTGAAGTTGAATTAAGTTATATTTTTGTCTACTAGGATTGACTGAAAAATCAGCCAAATCTCAGTTGGCTTTAGTCAAAAACATCCCAAATTAGTTAACTGACAGTCAGTAATTTTCCACAAGGGTTTGAATTTATTTTATTTGCTTATGAGACATTAAATTCGTATATAAGATTTGATTTGAATGAAGAAAAACACAATTTAAAAATAAGAATTTTTCATAAAAAACTTTTCAAATTCATTATTTTCGTTTTGTCGCGGATTGCAATAAATAAATGAGTATATTTTTGGCCGCTAGCGATAAATATATTTTTTGTCTAATATTTGAAAGTAATTAAAAAAAATGTGGTACAATTAAGTACATTTTTGTTACAATTATTTAAACCTATTCCCAATTTTCGAATTTCACATGAGTGGACATTTGACTATACATCCCGGAACCTTTCCCGAAAATACTTTTTCCAGAACGACTGTTTACCCGAAAATTCGGGGAATTTTTCGAGAAAATGTTCGAAAACGAACAAAATTATTGGAGAAGATCCATCAACAGCAATCGTAAAACATTCATAGAAGAAGATAGTACCTGAACTTCCAGTACATTATTCATATGTGATTATTGTTTGTTATTTTTAAATAAAATATCTCCAAAAATATCCAAATTATTTCATTTGTGTCCCACATCTTTTTGAAAAATGAATCAAGAGATAAAATGTTTCAAAGCAGAAAATGTCTGTGTAACGCAACGCCATCTGGCGAAAAATCGAAAAAACGATTGGAAATTCAAGAAAAATAAAAACAAAACCTTTAAATCAACATACGCGACATTTAAAACTTAAAACATATACCAACACATGTAAAACTCATTTGACGAAAAATCACGCGAAAGTCACGAATCACGTAGGAGCAGAAGAACGCACACACAAGTATACACCGTGTACGTGTATACACATCGTACCGTTTGACATACATACATAGATCGACCGCTTGGTGACATTTGCCGATAGAGACGAATTTTTTGGTTCATATTGTATATAAATATTTATATCGATGGCGAAAGATTAAAAATTCGCAAAGAAATTTATTCGCGTAACATTCTTGTGCAGAATATTTGCCATTGATATTTTCGAAAATTAAGCATAGCGACGGCAATACGATTTTCGGAAGGTTTTTATTGGCTATCCCGTGTTTTACATTTGTACATAAGTTTGTTGGAAAGTTTTGCAGATGAAGAGATTTTCAGTGAAGTGTAATCATATGCAGCGCATATATGTGTGCATATATGATTGAGTGCGCCTGCAAATGCAATCAACCCATTAAATCTAGTAATAAGACAATACTGAATCAACAACCTTTGAACAAATAAATTTTATACCATTCAGTGAGTATTGGCCCATATTTCATTTCCCATACTTTCATTCTCTCTTTCTTTCCCTCTCCTACCTCGCACAATTACACACGAAAAAAAAACACCACCTTCGACACAACATAAATATATCTTTAAATATTACACGTTTTAATTTCAATGGTGTGTTTTTTTTTTCACTCATCAACATTTAGACATGGAACGATGTACAGACAATCGCTCAACAACACCTCCACTCGAAACAATGCCAATCGCATCCAAAATGAATGTGAATGGGACACAAACATTTCCATCGTCTCTGTATGATAAGGAAGATCAAGCTGATATCAGCCAATCGATACCAATGTCATCATCAGAAGATGCATTATACGTATCATCAACGCCACCACGACCGCCGTCGCGTGCATCGAAATCAAGGTTTGCCATTTGACATTTTCATTAAATGACCTATTAGACTCAATTAATTTTCGTTTTTCTCGGTCACATGAAAAGTGCCCTTTGTAATAATGCATCGACGTTGAAAGTGGATGATGAAGTGACGGGAAGCAATTCAAAACCAAAATCAGATCGCTGCAAAAGCACAAAATCTCTTGTGATCAATCGAAAGGCTGACGAACGAGACCGAAAACATCGCCGTGAAAGACGAAGAAGCGGGTCGAAAAAGAGAGATGTGAGTTCAAAAGATGTGCCCAAAGAACTGCCAAAAAATAGAGAAATTCGGTAAGTTTCATGTTTTGAACTTGAAAAAGAAAAGTGACATAGATTTTTTGAAGATAAAAAAAAATCCAATGAAATGGTTTTTCTTTCGGTTTAAATGCAGTCGAACAGTCACTGAGCCTTCTATTGAGTACTGCGAAAATGGTCGATATTCGAGCAATTGGAAAAATCTAGCAAATCCAGAGCCAAAACCAAAATTGCGTAACTCTGAACAAAGCAGTAAAAATACCACAGAACTGTGTTCAAAATCTCCGCGTGTGAAAATTGAAGAGCCGAAAAACGAGTGTTCACCACCATGCAAAATAATGAAAAAGTCCAGTAATGACTGTTTTAGGTCGTCAACTGAAGATACGAAATTAATCGAAACTAAATTAAGCAAACGATTAGAATCAAATGATATGTTTAGTTGTGAGACAATTGATTTACCATCAAATAGTGTTGAGTCGGTAAGCATTGAGCAAAAATCATTAATTCAAGAGCAGAGCACCGTAAGTGACATTCGTTTAGCGAACAAAAACAGTTCACCATCGCATGAATCTAGTGATAATATGGATGTAACATCAACGACACCGGAAACACCAAAAACTCCGCCCATCGAAAGTAAAAAATTGATCGAACCAAAATTGTCCGAAGATAAAATGAAGCAGTACATTGATGAATATGATAGCTTCATACAGCAGGTGTCATCACCGCTTAATGAAACACTGAAAACAAGCGAACAAAATGAACATATCGTTGTCACCAATGTTGAACCAACGGAGAGTTCACTTTCTCAACCAAATGACTTGGCCAGCAAAAGAGATTTACCAAAAAATGAAGTATCATCATCAACGTCTTCCGCACAAAAACTCGATAAGAAAACCGATGTACAACACTCAGAATCGTCATCAAGTTCAGATGATGATGACGACAGCAGTACCTCTAGCAATTCATCGTCATCATCGAGTTCGAGTAGTAGCAGTTCATCGGGCAGCTCGTCGAGTTCCAGTTCAGATAGTAACGATAACGAGTCACCACGTCGTCAACGACGAAAATCCAGTTCAAAAAGAAGTTCACGTTCTGCCTCAAAATCACCACGCATCCGGCCTTCAAAACCAAGCAATAGTAAGCATAATTGTTTTAATTTTTCTATTTATTGTTCTTTATCGTCAATTTTTTTTATTGCTGAATATTTACAAAATCGAAGAGACTAATATAAACGTTTGTTCTATTCACAGTCGACGTATCAAAACCACATCGTTCGGAAACGGATGATTTGGATTTTGGCGTTTGCGAAAACAACAAAACCTCTTATACAAATGGTATTGAAGCGCTTATCAATCCAATGTCATTTGTAAAAGGCATGGATATGTCGGCACTAAAATCGCTGGACGCACTCATAAATGGTGATGATGATGATGATCTTTTGAGTAACATCCAGTCGTACAAAAATAATTATCTCGAGGTAATTAAGGGGAAAAAACATGATTCGGTCGCCAAAAAATCAAAATTGGACGAAGTATCGACGAATGACAACAGCATCAATAACAGCACAATGGATTATAATAACGGTTCTCTGCTTGATGACAGCGAACGAAAAAAGATTTCGTTGAAATTGAAACCAACAACAACATTAAAACAACAATCAAAAGGAATGAGCGAATCATTTCTTGATATCGAACAACAATCACCAATACACACGCAAACACCAACACCACCATCACAACTACAGCCAGAGCAACAAAAAAAGTCACCAGAGGAGCAGTTGCAGCATCAACAGTCACAAGCAAAGTCTCAGAAAGCCGCAGACGTAGAAAAACAAACATCAAACGAGCATAGCGATCAAATTGAAAAACGGTCGAGTGATGGAAGTATGACGTCATCATCGAAAAGGAAAAGTAGTCATCGAAGAGATGAACGCAAATCGCGACGCAGTGAAGATAGAAAATCACGTCGTAGTGAGGAACGAAGTCGATCAAGACGTGATGAAAATAGACGATCCCGACGAAGTGAAGAACGAAAAAATGAAAAGTATTCAAAACGTGGTGAAGAAAGACGATCCCGTCGAAGCGAAGAGCGTCGTTCAAAACACAGCGATGATCGTCCATCTCGTCGCAGTGAAGAAAAACGGTCGAGACGAAGTGAGGAACGCAGATCCAAACGACGACATGATCGATCCCCATCTGGTTCGAATCATTATCGTGAATCGTACTATTCACCATCGTATCGAAATCGTTCGGCGTCACCATTGCCACGTGGACCGCGAACACCGCCAAATACACCACCACCAAATACAACCGAATTTGATGAATTTCGAATGGATGACATGACAATGCGACAACATATGCCACCATACGGTACACCAATTATGCCACCAGCAGCACATTATCATCCGGGTCCAAATCCATTTCAAACGCCAAACTTGGCACCTAATGGACCGCCAAATTATATACACGATTATACTGCTTATATGCATCCGAATCGTGTGCCAGTACCGACACAACATCATTACAATCGTCCACCTCCAAGTCTAAATGTCAGTGCTTTAATACCGCCACCGGGAATGATACCATCGCCAGCGATCGGACCGAACAATGAATATTATTATGCAGCACCTCCTCCGTCGGCACATCATCATCTCCAAAATCAAGCGATGCCACCAAATTCATATTCGAATCTCATTGAAGTATCACCGCATGGTGTGCCAAATACATCAAATGTCGATTGCATACGGAAACAACAAACGGACAATCATCGTCGTAAACCAACAATTGCCGTGCAAAAGGGTAACGTTTTGGAAATTGTGCCAAGTGCTGAACTTCAATGTGATAAAAATAACGAGTCAAACAATGTGGAGAAATCGGATAAGATGCTTTCAATTGAAAAACAGGCACTACAACGTCAAAAACAGGAACGATATAAACGCAAAATGGAACGACATCAAAAACGACTCGAACGAACAAAACGAAAAGAATATCTATTGAATGAATTGGCACGATTAAGTCATTGCATGACATTTGGCAGTGATAATAAAGTGGTTAAAGCTAGTGAACTATTGAAATCAGTCACATTCGATGGCACAACCATCAATTTGTCCAATTCAAAAGGTGACGATGAAAATGAAGACCTCGACGATATATACATTGAACCGCCAGTGCATTCATATGATCCACAAGCTCCAATTGGACGTAGCATTCTGTCTGAACGAAATGACCCCGATCGGGCATCATCATCCAAGTATGTATTGATAAACGAAACGATTCACTTTTCATTAATTTTGATTATTTTTTAACAGGGAAAAGCGTCGTAGTGTTCTATTTGCTGATGGTGTGATTCCTGGTGAAGGCACTTCTGCGTCGGAAGAAAGTGCAAATGAAAATGATGATAATATTACTAAACCAAAGAAACTTTCGTCACGTGTTAAAGACAAGAAAAAGGCCGGAAATGTCACAGTGCCACCATTTGCAAATGAATCAACGTCCACATTCCTTGAAAAGGAAAATTCATTCGAACCAACAAAGGTAAGTGACGTCGACATTTTTTTTTTATAGCAAAAACCAGAAAAATGAATTTTATTTATTTTTCACATTTATTCAAATAGAGAGAACCCGAATCAAATGAACAAGTTATTCCGCCGCCACCACCAGGATCACCTCCACCACACTTACCACAGCCAAAACTCAAAGATCCCAATAAATTAATGTTGAATCATTTACTTTTCTTTCAATATGATTTGCGACGCAATGAAATGCTTATAACACAAACACCGCACATGATGCCCATGATGAAACCGCCTGTAGTTCTTAATACGCCTCCAGTTATTCCACAGCTACCACCACCGCTGCCAGTTCAACAAATGCTACCCATTCAACCATTATATCCATATAAATCGAATAGTGGTCGTCATCATAATGAATCAAAAACATCAAAACCGAGCCGATCGTCAAGCTCAAAACATTATCATTCGTCTTCGTCATCGTCATCGTCATCATCGTCCCACAAATCAATGCATACCACAAGCCACGATACCAATTTAATCGTTCTCTCCAGTAGCCCGTCGAATGTGTGAATTCATATTGCCAAAATGATCGAAAGCAAAAAAAATCCATACGAACACCATGAAGTTCAAACGACAATATTATCTATGATACGGTTTAAAAAAATGTTGATCCGAATCCAGTGCTTGTTAAGTAGTCAGTCTATTGTCGCAAATTTTCTCATAATAAATTTTTTTATTTTTTTTCTTCGCGCCGAAAAAATTAATAATTGATCATGACATCCAAATTTTAAACAAATTATGTATTAGACATATTTAATTTAGACATTCATAAATCGAAGTCAAACGGTATTATTAACAAATAATTTTGTTTTAAATAAAAATCAGCTGAGATAAAAGTCGAATTCGAAATGTTCGAATTTATCACATTATAGTTCGAAAAATGAACATAAAGAGAAAGAAGAAGAAGTGGAATAGATGTTGTATCTATATAAGGAATACATTTCAAGGAATAAAGATTCATAGACTAATTTTTGAAAAAGATTTTTTTTTCTTTTTGTAAGACTTCGATTAAATCGTGACATATTCGACTTTCTCTCAAATGACATCAATTTTTAAGAATTACTTTTACATATTTTGCTTTTAATTCATAGATTCAATAGTTCATTCTTTGCAAGAGTTAAATAGACCAATTTTCAAATTGAATTGCGTTGAGGTTTGTGATTTGGCGGAAAATGAAGAGACTTAATGTCTACCTGATGATTAAACAAATCCAATTATGTTGAATGTAAAAGAAATGATTTAATTTCGCCCTAGCTACCGAGCGATAGCTGCACATTGATTTCTGCTTTACATGCGTTCCGTTTTTCTGTTAATTGTGAGTAATTTTAAGATCCAACTATGCTGCTTTCGTCTCCTGTATAAGTGGGTGTAAAGGGTGTGAGAGTGAACAAATTGAATAAAGTCAAACATTTTTTTTATTTTCTTTCATTTTTTTTCTCTGTAAAACGTGATTGTTAACTTTTCTTTAACTTTTATCTGTATTTTTCATTTAAATGGTAACAAATTAATTTTTACAAAAAGTTCGTTTCTCACTTAATAATATTTGACTTAAGAACGTACGAAAATAGTGATCTATATTTTATTTTTCATCCTCATTCGATTTATATTCGAATTTTTATCATAGACTGTTTAACATAGATCTCTCACTAAATTCTATACTCTGAATTAATATTCAATTGTCCATTCAAGAAAATGAAAATCTGACTTTAATGCTTAACATCAATTTCTTGTTTAAATGTAACTTTCGTGTTGTTATTTTTATATTTCTCTCGAAAATTCATAATCTTTGCCACTTACATTATTATCGTCCATTGGTTTTTGGAGACTTCTTTTTTTAATCATTAGCCAATATCATTAAAGTGTTTTTTTTTCTTTTGTAATATGAATATTTTTTTTAGAAAAAAGAAATTGTTTTCGTATAAACAAAATAAAAATGTATGTATAATTTATGTACATATCATGTAAATTTCATGAAATATCCCCTTTTTAGAAAAAGAAAACAAAAGAATGGCTGTTTAAGGATTTGCCCTATATCAATATAAAAGAAAAAAAAAACAAAGTTATACGCATTTTGATTGCGCGAATCTTTTTTATCTTGGTGAATGTGTGTTTCTCTTTTCTTTTCGGTGCGTGTATGTTGTCACGGAAATGTATCAAAAAAAAATATCGTTGCTGCCGTCATTCAGTGTTTATTTTGCAAATTGAATTTGCGCTTGCATTTGAGAATTTGCCCTGCCTGTCCGCCTGTATCTGTAATTCTTTCTATTTGTACTTGACGGCAATGTTTGAAACAGTCGATGTGGTTTGTTTTATGTTGTCTAAATTATTAGCACCTGTTTCGTATGCGGTAGCGCTCACATTGAGCGGTTGCAGTATATTATTCTCTAATTTATCGGAACGCGTTTGTGACGCAGTCGTTAATGCGGTTGATTTTTTGGAACGATTATTCTCTTTTGGCTGCTCATTTGATTGAAGATCTTTGGGATGATTTGGCATTGACTGTTGTGTCATTGAAGACTGTTGACCAGTGGTTTTTGCACATTTTACACATATAAAAATGTCCGGAATATTTTTACGCTTGATTTTTGCACACGACAAATGCAACCACGTTAAACACTGCGAACATTCAATCATCGGTCGTGCTGCATACGGTTTACCACAATAACATGTTATCAAATTGTACGAATCGGCATCGATATCTAAACAGATATTTTTAGTGGAAGAAATGAAATGAAAATAATTTGCATTGAAACAGTCGAAATGTTGTATTTAAACATACCGGAGTCATCATCTTCGTTTGTTGACGATGCATCAATGGTGCTTTCCAATGATTTTGTCACATCGTCCGTACTTGTATCATTCAACATCACATTCGTACCGTTTAAATCATTTGTATCTAAATCTTTTGTTGTTGTGTCAACAATTGGAATCGCATGATTCGATTCATCTTCATTCACAGCGCTGCTAGTTGTCGACTCGGTCGCACTTCCCGTACTATCCAATGGACTATGGTTTGAGCTTCGTAAAGCCTGTCGGAAAATTGAGCAAAAACGAAAAAAAAAACACAAAAATCATAAACCTTTCACAACAATTAAAAAAAAAAAATGGAATCGGGCACTTACATCCTGACTGTATTCATCTCCATAGTTTTCATATTCTAAAATAAACTGACAAAACAAATAGAAATCTTCGGGTGTACGTGGTTGACGATGACCTACAGTACCATCACCACTGCTGCTGGCACCATCAATACTTCTAGTAACACTAGATGCACTATCACTGTCATCGTATCGATGACGATTCACGATGACCGTATGGCTGGACGAATCACTACCCATCGATCGAACCAAACCATTTTGACTAACAATCTCTTTTCGATTTGAATCGCCGTTAATCGTTTCAGAAAAATAATTTGCACCATCAATGTGATGATGGCGGTTTGTTGTGCTGGTGCCGTTTACAGATAATCCATTCATCGAATCTGGTAAAATATTGTGATACGATGAACTAAATGTGGTCTCTGGTGATGATCGATAATCATTGTGACCATAACCGTTCGGTGGACGTTTCTTTGGTGATAATGAATCACTCGATAAATCACTAGCCGTTGAAAGTTTCTTACGCCGTTTCATCTACATCACGATGATAATGGAAAAAAAGAGGAAATTGGTAAAGTTTATGCATTGAATATTAAATTATGATTTTTGAACTGTCACAACGACACCTACCACTGGCTTTGACTTGCGCATAGAATTATTGTGTTTCGGATCCATTTTATCCACATTGATTGACATTGAATGATCCACCTAATCAAAATTGTGTATGATGTTTTTGTATTTTGTTTTTAAATTTTGCAATTGAATTGCGTTTCTCGTTTATTTCATCCTAGACACTGTATAATTGTGATAGGTGATTGTTTGTTTTCCTCTCTCTTTTTTTCTCCTCTCAAATGATTAAAGCTAATGTGTTGCGTTTGTATCAAATATATTTAATATGGAAGGCACTAAGACTGATGGTGATGATGATGATAATCGATGGCGATATTATGGATGAACATTCAACACGAAATTATTCAGTTCAAATAAAATTTTGGAACGCCTCTCACACCGAGATTGTAGCTGATGATTTTTGTATAGAACCTGAAAGGCAGAGACAATTTAGTGTTTTTTTTTTTTAAATAACAAATAGTTAATATATTTTGGTGGAAAATTTTGTTGTTGTTTTGTGTAAGTATTATTAGGGCCAAAAGTGGTTTTTATTTTCTATATAGAATTATTGTCAACACAATAGCTTAATACATTTTTTTCTCTTTATCACCCAACATTTGTGTACACCGTGAATTTCAAAAGAATATTTCTTCCTTTCCCGTTTGTTGTGTATTATCACCAATTTTATTGTACATTATTTAGCCATCGAATATGTGACAAGAAATACTGTGTGTGTGTTTTTTTTTTTCGTTTGCAATTATTGAAAGTGTGTTTGTGGTGAGTAAATAAGTTATGCATTTCAATATAATAAAAGTATCACAACCGAAGAAATAAAATAAAAAAAAAAACGACTTGAAGATTGTTATTAAGATACAACTTAAAACAACTCACAGCCAAACAAACAAAAATGAAACGCACACAGAGAAAGAGAGATAGAGATAGAGGATAAGTAGAAGAATCAAAAATATACAGACACATATACAGAAAAGGAATTTACACAAAACAGACTGAAATGTTAGTCACTTTCGCATTACGAAAAAGACAAGCGCGAATAATCGTGATAAGTTCGAGAATGACGCGCACCACGTAGAAGAAAAAAAGAGAAGTGTAAAAAAAACTGAACACAGAACTTAAGCTTGTCAACTTTTATTCTCTTTCTCGGAATCGTAAATACATTTTCGAGGGACAGGAAAGAGCGAACATTTTTGTGATTTAAATTGCATTTTGAAAAGTCTAATCAGAGTATATTGTTGTGCGATTGCTTATTCCAATTGATTTCTATCTCATTTGTTCGTGTTCTTTTTTTTTACTTTCGCTTTCTATCTCTTTCTTTCTCCTCGCTTACTTATTGTGCTCACTATTTTGCTCACATAACATTGTCAGAGTGTGTGGTCGTGGAAAATGTTTGTAACTACAAAACGGGTACCAAAATTCGCAAATTCATAAATTTAAATTCGAAATCCATTTGTACATACTATTTTGCAGACTTCGTTTCACACACACACACGCACGCACGCATACACACATATACACGATAAAATCGAACACATTTTACAAAGCAACTCGTAATGATCAACATCTAAATCACTGTAAACTCATAAATAACACATACTGTATGTTCGGATCGCATTTCAATTTATTTTTTATTTTTTGTGTCACATCGAAATTGAACAAGAAATGAAAAGTAAACTAATAATATTCGTTGTACTATCAATGACCATTTTGAGGATTGTTGGTGTTTATTTTTCACATTTCTCTCTTTCCCTATCTCCATCTCGAGCAATCGAACAAATTTAGAAAATCAATTGTTGAAAGGAATGTGTATTGAGTGTATGCACACTCATAATAATTTGTATCTCTTCGAGTTTCGTCGATGTTGTTGTTGGTTATTGCTGATTGTGCTATGGCGTTGGACACATTGTTACAAATTAACGCATTTCGATAGAGCAGCACAGATACGAGAGAAGCAAAAAAGAAACGATTCTCTTTCCCACAAGACCTTACGCACTGAAATTATTCATTTATCTTTACATTTATTTTTCTTCAGCAATCACATCAACATTGCCATTTGTATCAAATGACAATATTTGCTGTGTGAAAGAGATAATGTTTTGATGTTGAGCAAAGAAAAAAGTAGCACCTTTTTACGATTCATATTCTTAGTCGACGTTTTTTTTTTAGTTCGCACTGAGCTTGGCTACCAAACAACAACGACAAAGATGATCAACATTTATTTTTTATAAAACTATTACAATTGACGTTTTTTTGTGTTCGAGAGATTTGTTCAAATTTTCATAAATAAATAATCCACTTCCAAAAATGTTCGTGAAAAAAATATTTCTCAGCAAAAAATGTGGAACACAGTAGTACGTCCAACAAAATGTACATAAAATCTTAACATTCACACACACACACATACACACGAAATTCAATAAGACACAAAAAAAAACGCGTTGAAATTTATTTATTTCAATTTTTACCTTTTTCATTTGACCAATATTGTCAAATAGAGACAAATTCACAACTTTATTTCCATACAAAATGTAATCGAAGAAAAAGAATTAGTCTCGAATTAAAAGCCCCTTTTCGAATTGAAAAATTAGAATCACTTCACACTTTTCAAAATAAATGTATTTTTGCATACTCAACGTAATCACAACAAAAAAAAATTGAACAAAAAATATCTCTGATTTTCACTGGTTATTCAAGTTATCACTAATTGCATTCGTTTTTTTTTTAATTTCGTCTCTGCGTTTTGAAAATTTGCTTGTGTTTCGTCTCTTTTGGTTGTGCAATTTTAGGTTTGCTTCGTGAAAATGATGTGTGTTTGTCCTTTGCTAGTTAAAACATTTTTTTTTTCTTTTTTTATTTATTTCGCACTTTTTTTTTCTTTTAAAATAAGTTCAAAGTATTTTCTAGTTGTACTGTATAGCTGTTAATGCTGCTGCAGAATGTTGTGCTTAAAGATTTTTGTGCGTTGTTGAAAAATTGAAGGAGCCAAGTGACGTTCTGCGTCTGTATGTATATGCGTGTGAATACAGTCTTTGTAGATGGAACAGAGTTTCTTCTCGTGTGTATGTGTGTTTGTGTGAGAGTGTGTGTTGTGCGAACGTACGTATTTATAAATTAATTTGACATTTGGTAATGGAAGGATGCCATTAGGTAGTTTGAAACTGGCAATAATCGACCGTATGTACGATGGTAATACGAACGAAATTTGCTTGTCATGGAATTGAAAAATCAACATTGACATTTGTTTGAAGTGAGAGAAATGTACACGTTTAGAAACGTTTTTGTATGCGTAATTTATTTATTTATTTTCTACTTTAAAGAAGCATTCGCTTGTATTCGATCAATGATGATGCTGTTGTTTTTTTTGTTTTTTACATTTTTATTCATACTTGGTGACAAATAATACTGAGATAGACAATAAACATGAGATTTTGAGGTGTTATTACATTTCTTGTGTTTAACGATTCTTCGAGCGGCGAGGTGGTCATGGGGGTCCACAGCCGAGATAGTCTAATCACTTCTTCTTAACCTAAGAGTCGAGAGTTCAACACTCTTCAATAGTGCCTTAAAAGTTATAAACATACACACATTTTCTCAGTTTACAATTCTCAACTTATAATTTCCATTTCAAGATAAGATGCCGATCTTATCTTTGAACAATAAAATCAAAAATAGTGTAAATAGATAGTTTCAATAGTATACTTTGAGTAAATAGTATAAGGCAAATATTCCGATCAGACTATCAAAGCACTAACATCACAATGTTAATGTTAATGTGCGGTAACAATATTGCCCCTTTTTTTATTTTTTCATCTCATGTTTCTTTTTTTGCCGCTGTTGATGGATTTACCTGTGAAATAATTATAGAAATATTTATATTTCATTTGATTCATTTTCTACTTATTATTTGTATCGACAAAAATTACCTCAGCAGCATATTGAATATGGAAAGATGGTCAAATCCATGTACAGTTGGTGCTGAAAATTAGATTGACTGAAATTAAAATATTATAGAAATTAGTCATTTCAATTAGTAGATAAGGTGTCAGACTATCGATTCGACATTTGGAGTTCAATTTCTTTCAGTATTTTTTTTTTTATTTTCGTGCGTTTTTCAAAAAAATAGTATCAAATTGAAAAAAAAAGTTTTATCTCATTTTATTTGCATGAAAAGCTCTATTAATTTTTTCATCCACATTTCGTCGAACTTAGAAAAAGAGCTTCAATTTTTAAATAAATCTGTATATATTTTTTAAATCAATTCGTATTTATTGGCATTATTACAACACTTACATCCAAAATGCAAAGATTAAGATTCAATTAAGAAAATTGAAATTTAATATTTTGTAACATTTCCTTGAGTCACATTTTGTACACTTTTGTATGTTTAAACGCCATGATGTTAATATTGTGACTGAAGTAGTGGTTGTATCACAAATGCGTGTGAAAAAAGTCGTATGTACTGAATGTGTTCAAGCGAACGAACCCTTAAATTTATCATGATAAATTACTTAGTATAATATGTTGAATATATTGAAGCAAATGATTTCAGAAGAAAATAGTTTCAAAAGAATATTTTTGAATTTCTTATCTTTTCCTTATCATTTTTGATGTTTATCTTTTCCTTATCATTATTATTTGTTTTAGAACCTTTCGAATCGAATGAAATTTTAAAAATAAGGAAATTTTCAAGGAATCAAGTGACTTTTTCAGAACTTACATGTGAGCCAATGGTGTGAAGTGCACACGGATGATATGTGTAGCAAAGTTGATCACAGACTAAACTTCAATTAAGAACCCAAGTCATCGGGTGCATTTACGAATAGATGCACAAATGCTGCGCATATGTGAGCTTCAATCAACATAACAATAATGATGTTTGGCAGATGTTTCTTTTATTTGTACAGAGAATTCAACCCTGTTGAAACTTCGAAAAAAGAAGAGGAACAACCATGAATAATATGCGGTAGTGCAAACGTTTCGTTGCAAATGTTTACATTTTCTTCACAGTAGAATTTCACAACTTGAACAATTGATGCATGGCAAAAAATCGTTTTTTTTTTCAGAATATATTCAAATAAAATGCATTTGAAACAGCGGCGTACCTAGAGGTCAGCTTTAGGGGGGGTTTTAATTTTTTTTCGTCAAAAGCACTAGCAAATTGAAAGATTTTTTTTTATCAAAAAACCCTAGCAAATCGAAAGAAAATTATATCCAAAAGGCTATTTCATCTGGTGTAAACCTCCATTTCATTTTTGAGAAAATTGAGAAGCAACAATGTTTTCGGTCTTCAAAAAATGACTCAAAACTTTATACCATCCCTCACTCACATTCAAACTTCAGCTCAATAAAAGCTTGAAAATTAAGTCGAAGAAAAAATATAGACACTATCTTACTGAAGACTATTTATAAATGTAAGAAGGCCAAAAATCGCAATGTTTTAAATGATGAAGTACGTTAAAATTCTTGGTTCCAGTATTATATAGTATATCTAATAAAAAAAATTATTCGCTTCTTTAAAAAAATGAGTGAATGACTGATTGTGGCCAAGACCTACTGTAATAGTTATATACTTTACTGAACTATTTGACTTAAAGTTTTGAAGAATTACATATGAATGGATATTTAATATTACTTCAATTCTCATCATTTCATATATCATATAGTTTTTGTGGTTACAAAATATTATCAAGATAATTCCAACAGTTGAGCAAATTTGATAAGCAATTTGGCTTGTAGATATATTTTGGGTATAAAGAGTGTTTTAAAATAATTTAAATTGTAAGTTAAAGTAAGTTTTTTTAAACAAAAAAATAAAATACTGAAAATAAGGGTTCAGGAAAAGTAAGGTTTGCGAGCGAAGCGAGCAGAAATTTGTTTCTGTATATTTGAATTTTTTACTTCTTTCTTCCTAATAATCAATTTTATCTAGTGTAAGCTGATTCTCAATTGTCCCCAAAACCCCCCCTTAGGTACGCCACTGATTTGAAATATTGACTTCAAAAAATGATTTAGTCGAAAAACTCGCGATAAAAGTACCATTTTGTATTTAGTTTTTTTTTTTTGTAGTTTTGTACAAATTTTTATCACGAAATGCTAGAGAAGTTTATTCTGATTTGCATAGTACTCTGAAAAAAATTTCTTGATTGGAAATGTAAAGTTCTGTAAATTATTTTGAAGCAAAATTTATATTGTAAATCATATCTATGTCTGAATAAGAGTATTTTAATATCAACATTTTTCTTGTATAGAAAAGAATTTCATCTTGACAAACCACCATATGAACTAACACTTTAAACCGTGAAAAAAACAGCTGTTTAAATAATATTGTTATTCGAAATAAAAACACAGAGAAATTGTCTCAATTCAAAAAATCTTTAAATTCATTTTTATTCCTTTTTTCAGTTTTATTAGTTACTTATCTATGGTTTTTGTGCATAATTTCACTAGATTATTGTACATTTTCCATCATTCATAATAAATATACAGGTTAAGTAGTTAATAATTCACTCAAAATGAACCCCGAAAAAAACACGATTCAATTTTAACCCAATTAAAAAAAAAAAACAAAAAATTAAAACATATGTATTGTATGCCAAAACGAAAAAAAAAATAACAATATCAAAATAAACAAAAATTTCAGTATATTCTTCGAATATTACAAAAGACACTAGTGTATCCAATTGTTGATTGTGAACATTGAGATTGGGATTGAAAGGAGAGAGAGAATCTTATTTTAATTTTTTTTTGTGTTATTCACTTGAATATGTGCGACGAAGACAAATGTTCACACTTGTGATCATATAAACTGAATTCGATTTTCTTTTTTGGTTGTTTAATGTGTATAGTCTGGTTGATGTGTGTATATGACAGTTTTGAATGTGTGTTTTATTCCTTATTTTCGTTGGTTATTTATTGTATCTCGGTTCCTTTTTATTAATTCTATTTTTATGCATATTTTCTTACGCAATATGAACCAGAATTGATTATTTTTTGTATGTTTGTTTTTTTTTTTACATAAATTTAGGTACATTTGTATATTCAATTAATTTCTTGTCATTCTAACTTTAAACATTATTGCTCTGGTCAGACTTTCAACCATTCTTGAACTCATTTATGAGTTTTTATCATCGAAACAACAATATTCGCTACGCGTAAAATTTATTATGGTGAATAGTTATTTTTGTTTTACTAAATTTTGCTCTGTTTCATTGTTATATAAATTATGATTTTGTTATAATTCATTTTTACAATTAACAATTCACTAAGAATACATACTCAAATAAAATGGATTTTCTTCTTTGTACAATTCAAAAAAAAAAAAAAAAGTCTCTTATTTTCATCGTTTGTTCGTCCTTATTTAAGTACAAAACTCTCAACTATCAAAAGCGAAGAATAGAAAAACACATATTGGAAAAAGTGATTTAAAAAAAGATAATAAGTAAAATAGAGAGAGTGAAAACACAATTCGATATTCTATTGAAAAATATGCATTCGACTAGAATGGCTTGAATGAATACATGTTTTCAGATTTCAGTAAAATAGACAGTCGCAAAAATTTCCAATTGATATGTGTTTGTGTGTTTGTGAAACATGGTTAACCAATATGTGACCATGATTTATGATGAGAATATTATTTCATTATTAGAACGAATCATTTTTCTTTCCATTTTTATTTCTTTAAAATATGAAACAGCTTTCAAACAATTTTTTGGTGAACATTGCAAAATTCAGAAAATTTCCATCAAATTCTTTTACAAAATTATTATACATTTCTTAAATTTATGATTTTTCTCATGCTGTATTTTATTGCCGATTTACTGAATTTGTAAATTTTTAAAATAATTAAATAAATTGATAATCGTTAGCGATCAATTGTTTGCTTGAAAAACAAAATAAAAATAAAATAAAGTATTTGAATATTTAAAAAAAAACATAGATTGCGTGATATAGTAGTAGTATTGCGAAGATTTTTTTCCCATTTCAAAATAAATAAATACATGTGGAAAACACTAAGTGAAAGCACACACGTGAGCATAAGAAAGAAAATACAAATTATAGTGTATGAAAAACACTTCAATTGGACTTAGTTATATGTAGGATTTGATATTTTTTTTTATATGGATTGCACTGATAAATCGAACCGCAGTTTCCATTTGTATCTTAAGATATATTTCTTTTTGTCCATGACATTAATTCAGGCTTATTAATCATCATAAAACAAACATTTTCATATTTTCTTTTCATTGGCAAAATTTGTTTTTCTTTAATTTACACATATAAATATAATAATTCTCAATTAAATTGTTTTTTTTTAGGCGAAGTACTAGGGCAACTTGGCAACTTGCAACTTTGAAAAAAATAAAAATAAAAAAATCTACATGGTTCATTGCCACAAAAAAATTAAACCGAATATATGAAAATACTTAGTGCATTTTGTGGTTTGTTTACGTGTCCGGCACATTGTTTTTTTTTTTCAGTTAGCTTTTCTCAATGATTGCACCCTTTACAAAAAAGGAAAAAGTTTTTGCAACATTCATAAAATCAACTTTTTGGCCATTCAGCACATCGATTGGTAAACAACGAAATTGATTAAAAATGAATGAGTGAATGGATGGATGGTTGTATGAATGATCATATATAGAGAGTTAGTTGGTATTGCACTATGAGAAACCGTTTGCAATCCTTCTATACAGTTGTATTATTTTGCAAAAAAAAACACAAATTTCTTTTCCATTATGTGTGTGTTTTTTGAAAACACTAAAGCTAGACAGACTTAGAGATTACTATGTGTTAAGATTTATTTTTGTCATCACTTCAAAAGTAAATGAAGAATTATGAAATGAATAACTTTTCGATCTTGATAGAATGTGTATTATAGCTAGAAGATAGTGGAAAAGATAGATTGTATGCATGTGTGTTTGTGTGTGTGTTGAAAGTTAGGGGAGTTAAATAATGACATAGTTGCATTAAAATTTGGATATGGATTTTCAATTAATTTCTATTTTCAATGTATGACTTGAAATTAATATTGAAATCATTTAGTATTTGATGTGGAAATGATTTTTTTAATTGAGCTCCGTGCACTGGTTGCCACCAGTATCGGTGACAATGAACGCAGTACGGCATGTTTTTTTAATTTTATATTTTTTTCATCGGATTTTTCCCGTTCGATTTGTGTGCTGCTCAGCGTTCGTTTGCCACGTTTCATTGATGTATTTGATGCTACAGTGCTGCTGTGCTGGCTATTATTATTTGTCTTATTGCTAACGCATGTGGTTGACGATGATTGGACACATTTTGTTGTTGATGTTCGACTTCGATTTCGGCAAATCATACGTGGTGTTATCAATGTTGCACTTTCAGTACATGGAACATTCAAAATATTACCATTGAGAATGTCCGCATCAGTATACGGGCTGCTCCTTCGATCGATTTGATCCAATGGCATTACATTCGATTGTCTGCACGCTCGTATTTGACTTGTTTTACGTTTGTTTATTCGTAATGGATCCACGGTCACTGGATCGCATCGATTATCACACACATTTGTCGATACGGTTTTGGAGCGACTTCGATGCAAACGGCTACGTTGACTTTTCGCAACCGGTTGATGTTCATCCAAACAATGTGGGTGTGTCAGTACGGTACCACTGATCATATTACAACTTCGTTGCATTGAAATTGATCGAGATCGATTTATATCATCTTTGCTGCACTTTGATGTACCGCAACCAGTGCAGTTCAATGCATCACACGTTGGATATGTGCTATCGTTATTATTGTTATTTTGCAATATGGTGCCACCCACTTTTCGCATTTCAATTACATCGGAAAACGATGGCTCCCAGTTTGATGTGGATTGTTGTTGTTGCTGCTGCTGCTGCTGTTGCTCTTTAATGCGATAATTTCGGGAATTGCTCACTGCTTTCGATGACGTCGAACCACCGCCAACTTGAGCCTCACCTAGCCTGCTACAAAATCAAGAGATGGTAGATGTAAAGTTTTATTTTTTTCTCTTCCGTTTCATGCAATTTGCATTTAGGTATAGTTGATTTTGAATATGACTTTTTGTTTGAATAAAAGAATAGATATAACATGCAGCAAAAATGATACAAAATATAACATGCGAAAAACAAAAATTTCATTCAAAAAATTACTTCTCCATTTTCCATAGGAATATTGTATAAGTGTTATTTAGTTGTGAATAAATTGTGTTAGTAGTCAATAAACTGCCCATATATCGACCGTTCGAATTCCAAAGAAAAAAATCAACATATTTTTTAATTAGTTAAATAAACGTTTGCCGGAATTTGATCAGCAGTACGAGATTTGGACAGTTTACGCTATAAAATAATGTGATAGAAAAAAGCGATTTGCAGTTAAGCACTTCAAAGCAATCAGATTCTTTTAAATGTGATTTTCTTCGAAGCAGTCAATCTGTTAAGCGATAGTGTCTGTAATGTTCAAAGTATTAATTCAGAAAGTGCGTTGAACCAAAAGGTGATTTTATGAAGTTTTTTTAATATAAAATTTAAATTTCACATCCGCAAGCTGCAGCTGAATCAAATGAAAATCGAACATTTTTGGCTTTGATCATTGGATTTATAATTTTTCATGGTTCATTTTTTGGCGGACCAATTATTTTTTTGACTAGAGAAAAAAATCTTCTTTTTTTAAAAATAACAATTGGTTCGGATTATTTGCTTTTGTTCAAAGATAATTTTTTTTTTTCAAATTAAATCTAGAATTTTTTTTAAAAATACTATTTTCAAGTTGAATCATTTATAATTAAATTAACTGCATTTTGTGTCAAAAATAAAATTCTCCTCTCAATTTTAATCTCCGTTCTACATTCAATTGGATAATTGTGTCCATTATTATTATTGCATTGAATAAAATCGTTGGGTCACTGGGGGTGTTTTCAATTTCATTTTAGTTTCGACTACATCCCATTTTGTTTTTTATTTACAAAAGAACTAACTTTCTCCACGTTATTGACTGGATTTTATATCGCTAATTATTATTATAGAGAATTAACAACAACAACAATACAAGGAAAACAACGAATAAAAATAAATGGTTTTGTATCATTACTGCTACCGTACATACACAAATATATATATATCTAAAAATTTATGTTATTGCCGATGATGGCTCGGAATAAATTTTATCAAAAAATTGAAAATGTTTCATGACATTTGTTGTTTTCACATGATAGAATGGTAATTTTTCTTTTTCACAAAAGTAATCGAAAAATTCAAAAGAATATCCACGAAAACTACGCGTTGATGGATAATTTTTTTTTGTAAATCATCGTATAAATTTGTCATTGATCGATAAAAAAATGGTGGATTCGAAATTCAAAAAAGTAATTTTCCAACAAAGTTTAGAAAAAACCACAAAAACTTTGGTTGATTGGGGCATTGGAATTACGTACTAAGGCATCATACAGAACACAAAAATTGGCCAATTGAAGTTAGGTTACACGAATTTCAAATGATTAATTGATGTCTCTGTAATTGGTAGCTTAGAATCGACGCATTTCTAACAATTTCATTGGACTTCTTTTGTAAAAAAGTGAAAAACTCTTCAAATTGGTGACCATTTTTTTTTGTTCATGATATTCATAAATTTTGATCTCTTTGTTTGTTTTCTCGAATTCATTCATAAAAAGCGAGAAGTGTACAGAAAAAGTGACCGTATGCATTCGATTTGAAGAAATTTCAATTGACCCACCTCCGATTTTGCATGGTCAATGTGACTGGTTTTATTGTTGACGATGTTGATGTAATGGCATTTGTGTTTGACACGCTTGTTGCCAGATTGGATCGTGATCGAAATGGTTGAGAACGGGCACGTACATGATGTGACTGATGCACCGATGATGTTGCCGTCGATGTTTCATTTTTCCTTTAATTTTGTTTTTCAATTCCGACAAAAGAAGAAGAAAGAAAAATCAATCAGTTTGGCATGGAAAAGAATAAAAATCACTGTAAAAAAATTTAACGTGCATTTGTACACACTCGTAATAAGTGTCAAGATTAAGGACAAGCGTGAAAATTCAACCGAACACGCGATTTATCGAAAACTGTCTCGCAAAATGCAATGTTCCGTGGAAAAATAAATCGTGTCCGCACGGTGAAAAGTAAAACGAAAAGAATCGCAAATAAATTGATTTTTGTGATTCACGATGGATTGTATTTGTGTGTGCGTGTACTTACAATCCGGAAATGGGTGAGATGTTGGTTGACAATCGTGTGTGTCTGCGGCGCATGGCTTTTATTTGATTCAATGTATCACCTTGAGTCGGATTGGTGACATTCTTATCAAAATTATCGTTATTGTTATCGATATCCGCTGCAGTGGCAGCCACCTTTCGTCTTGTCGACACGCCAATACTGCTTATTGTGGTTGTGGTGCTGCTGTTGGTGGTGGTTGTTGTTGTATTTTTGTTCTCGTCCCGATGTGGAAAATCGACACGATTCGAAATAGGTGCCACAACTTTTGTTGTACCATTTGAATCGTTCAATTTCATGGTGTCCACCTTTTGTGAGATATTTTGAACACGATCTCGTAACTTTGTGATTTGACCGTTTCCATTTTCTATAAGAAGAACAATTGAAGACAATGAAAATACCATTACACTTCTGTTTCTGACACACATTACAACTAAATACCATTCGAATTTTAATCAACACACACTCTCTTACCTTTGGTGGTAGTTTGAAGCCCATTGCCGTTTGTCGATTTAAGCACTTCACGCTGTTTAATGCTGTAAATTCCATATTCATATGGTTCAGCTTTGCCAAATGACTTTCTCTTATAATACTCGGCACCTTCTATCCACAATTGATTCTGTTTGCTATTCGAACACGAACAAATTCAAAAAAAAATATATACATATTAAGACAAACGCCATATGGACGGGTACATGATGTTCATGTAAAAACAAATTTGTTTAAAATTGTGTTTTGATACGTCAAAATGCTTTTATAATGATTTTTACACAGCACTTACTCCTCCAACCATTGTTGTTGATGTCCAATGACGGAACCGGGTCTGCATAATCGCAACCATGCAATAGTTTCCAGCGCAGTGAAACGATGATGTTTCATAATGTAAGCACCAATTAAGCTGCCAGTTCGTCCGAGGCCGGCTGCATTTTAACCGATACAGAAAATAAAATGGAAAACGGAAGATATTGAATTTATAACAAAAGAAACACAAAAACAAAAAGTTCTCTAGCCACTCGAATATTTGATTGGCAAATTGAATTGAAAATCATTAAGAATAATTTACCTTTACAATGGACAGCAATAGCACCTTTAGCTTCTTCACAAATTTGTAAGAAATTTTTCAAAATTAAATCGGTCGGTTTGCTGCCATCGGTGAAAAATAGCTCCTTATGATCGAAACCGGCATTTGAAAATCGTGATGCATTGTATAACTTTAAATTGAGCCGAATAATTGTACTGCAAAATAAATGGACATTAGTCCGTTTTTCCATCAAAACCATTCAATGTTTATCATCGAAATTCCAAAATGGAATGTGGCTTACCTGACATTGTTCTGTCGAAAATAATTAAAGTATGTTTCCGGTGCATGGCATGGGTATCCATTATCGATTTTGGTCCGGTTATGAGGACCACAGAATGCAACAAATTTATTCGGTACAATCCAATTGAGGTCACCATATTCGACACGTTCATAATACTCATATTCTTCAGCGTCAAAATCGTTAAAATCAAAGAAACTAGCATTTCGAGCTTTGTACACGGCCTGCAAACAATCCATTAGGCTAATGGTATAGTTGGAGGAGCCGCATGACGCATCGCAAAACTGAATATAAGGCGGACCATAGTTCAGTGTTTCGTACGCTTCTTCGGGTGTTCGATTCAAATTGATTATCTAGAATGGAAGAATGGGCAAACGTTAAAATGCGAATAGCAAAAGAAATTAATTGAAGAAGAAGAAGAAGATTATGTCATGTTCAATTCTCCATTTCTGTTGTCCTCTTCTATTCTATTTAATTTACTTTTCGAGTGCTCAACCTAGCTTTTTCGCTTTTTTTACCGTTTGTTTATCCATTGCAATTTTCATAATGGACACACGACTCGGGTAGAGAAAAATAAAGAGCATAGGCTAGCGCAAACACACAAATACATCTTTAATTCGAATTGAACGCAAATCAGGCCAATGAATTACACATTATTGTTGTTGTTTGATTAATTTTTATTTGGCATTGAAGAGAAACAACTTACCGAATAAGCTCCGATTAAAAAAGCCGAATTCAACCGTTTTTGTGGGTCGATCGTTGTATAGTGGACAATTTTCTTTTTTGAGTGTAGATTTGTCGCCAATTTTCGATTCAATTTCTGACAGTATCGATACAGCATGCATATATTCAATGGTCCAAAGTCGTTGAAAAAACTCTCATACACTAGATCATCGTCAATAGAAAAATAATGAATTGCATTTGTATTTAATGGAACCAATTCATTTTTAAATATCACCAAATATAGTCGATCTATGTTGCGAGTCGTAAAAAAATGCAGTTAATTTGACGGCGATGGCGAGCAGTAAGGGAAAGAAAGAAAGAAAAAAAAACATTTTTACATATACATTTGATTGATTCAAGATCGGAATGATTTTTTACTCACTTGGAATAAATTCAGATGCAGATCCTATTTGATTTGTGTGATCCATATTTGTATATAAAGTAGATCCGAACTTTTTATTCGATAAATCCTTTTTTAAATGCGGTTTATTTTGGTTATCTCCTTTTTACATGTCATCCGGACTATTTGGAAGCTTCAATTGTGTTGGTGTTTTTTTATGCGAACCGTTGAATTTTAAAATAAAAACATACAAACATCTCATCGATTCAAATAATTAATTGGCTGTAAATAACAAATAAAATGTATGAATAAATTGAACTGACATTCTTTTACATCGAGATCAACATTGTTAAGATTCGAAATGAAATTTATTCAACAAAAGTCATTGACATTTTTAAAATTGATCGAAGGTCGTTGTGGTCGAACTAAAACAACATCGATTTACACATAAAAAACCATATCACTTTGTACGTCTCACTGTTTGTATGATGCATGCAAATGTGCACTCATTCCGAAATTGTATACGTGTGTATAAGCAAAAACAGATCCTCCGAAGAAAAGAACGATACATTGTACAAATGAAAATTCAGTAATTACAAAAAAGAGGTATTATGTGTATTTTGCACAAATGCAAATGCATCGCACACAATAAAAAAACGCTTTTTTGCGAACAAAATGAAATAAAGAGAGAGACAGGCACACTGCGTGCACACGCAAATTATGTATTTAGCGGCACAAAGTGAGATCAATATACACAAACATCATCATCATTGTGGCCGTCGTTGTTTTCGTTCAACTCAAATGTAGATCAATAATGGTAACAAGTTAATGAGGTAACTATAGGACGTAAGTATGAGAAACACACAGTGGGAAAAATATGCATACGGCAAAACAAAACGATTGAAAAGTATGTTCTTCAAAATGCACCAAGTGGGCACATAACATACATGCACACACACACATATTCTGTTCTGAAAAATTTGCACCGAACACGAAAACGGTTTTATAATGATGATTTACGCAAAAACGTTAAGAATTCAACGTTACAAATACACCGATTTTCTTTCAAATTTCATTCTTTTTCATCGAATGTACTGTTGTCACTTACATTGAAAATAAACATTGTCTTTAACAAACAACACAATAATTGTAATAAAACGGCCTAATTTTCATAGATTACATGGAATCACACTCATTTGTAACAACAACAACAAAAAAGAAAAAAATCTAATCCCATCAGATTTCACAATTTGCGTCGATTTCGTCATAAATTGTATTCAATTTCCATTAATTGTCTTCTTCACTCTCTGCATTCGTGTGTGTTGTTTTCGTTTTTTGCCATTTCTTTCGACCGTGTGTTACATTAATATAACGCAATTATGCTCTAACTTTGACATTTCCAGCGGATTGAGTGTTTTTGGATTGTTTTGCATTTTTAGTTGCCACACAGTACCGACTTTTTTTTTTGCCATGCCGTGCTTTTTGTTCACTTCTAATTGATGTGGTGAGAATGATTACGGCCTTGTCTGTTCCATGTGCAGTTCAATAAATTCCTTCTTCGGTCTACTGTTTGTATATGTGTGACATCATTTCCGCGATTCATTAATAAACAATGCAAAACTATTTCGCTTCGAATTATCTATTCTGACAACACACACACACATACATACGTGCACACATACAAACGGCTCTGCTTTCGTCTGCATTAATTCCGAATCGATTTTCTATATTATTTCGTGTGTTTTTTTTTCTCCACTCAACAAGTTCCAATATGTTTTGTATAAACAACAATTTTTAAATGAGAAAACAATAATTGGGTTCGCTTAATTTATGAATAATTCGATGATTCAACAAAAATGCATTCATTCACTTTGACTTTCGGTATGTTTCACACACAGATTACAATGCACACTCACTAAATCTTGTCAACCACTCACCATTATTATTTCTCTCTTTTTTTTAATTCAAGTTTGTAATGATTGCACATCCGAAGAAAAAAATACACATCAGAAATGAAAACAATACACTTTTGTCTCTTTGTGTGTCATAAAAACCTTTTTGGCAATAATGAGAGACAATTATTCGTTCACATAAGAATAACAAGAAAATCAAACACTCCAAAACCCAAAGATATTCTGATTGCAAATATTTTGCTGGCTCTTTCTCTATCGTATCCTTCCCATTACGGCTTCGTTCCGTTCGGGCTTAAAAGTGTACCAGTGGCAGTAGCACCAACAACAACAAAAACTCATGCGCCATAGAAAAGTTTTTAACTAAGCAAAACAGATACACACATTCATATACACATCCATACTAGAATAATCGTGGCACATACCAATTCAGTATATCTTAATAAATACACACACACACACAAACACATACTTATATATTTATGTACGTCGCGACCACGTCGCATGTACACCGTATACTTGCACAAAACTACTAAGATGGAAAAATATATTCTGAGCGTAAGCGGGAGAGAGAGTGCACACTGACATTACCTCATCAATTTCCAATTGAATGGAGAACACGATTACGGTATAATCGGTGCTAGCACGAAACGAAGAAAAGAATACGACGACGAAGAAGAAGAAGAAAAAATCATACAGATATCAGGAAAAATGATGTATACCGCATGAACGTGCTGTTTTTGTAGAATGTTATGTGTGTTGTCAGTTAGTAATTCGATTTGAACCAACAAATCATTTTTGATTTTGTTATTTATTTGTTTTTGTGCGGTTTTTGTGCGGTAAAATACGAAAGATAGCATAGGCGCCCTCAGTTGCAATGATTTTGAACGTTGAAAGTATGGAATATATTTTCTAATCGGTTGATTATGAATGTCCGAGAATGAATGTGAGACTTCTCCTGAGAGTTTATTGAAATGTAATACCGCCATACAAAAATTGCTGACAGTCAATAAACACTCAGGAGAAGTCTCACATTCATTCTCGGACAATCATTTGTCGGTTTATGTTTATCGCCATTTCTTTCGGTAAAAATTAAAATGTTCATTACATGAAGCGAATATGCGCCGAACAGTAGGGAGATTTAATTGGCTGATTGTTTGAAAACATACAAATACACACATGCATATACGATACTTTCTTGTCGATAAATATTGTTGTGATGTTCTTGTCGTAAACAATAAACGCCTGGTAATGATGATGATAACAATCAGTGCAGTGCTCAACAGCATTAAATTGAAGAAGAAAAAGAAAGAAAGAAATGAAACTAAATATGTTTCGCGCGCGCCAGCTCACTCGAGCCAATTTACTCGCATCGGTCCTATGTGTGCGACGACACCAAATGACGAGATTTATGACAACTGCTTTTTCGCAATAAATGAAATGGAAAATGAAAATATGCATATGAATAATGTAAACTGTATGTTTACATTCATATATCTATTTTGAATCATAGCGACACTCAACTAATCTGTACAAATTGAGAATGGCGATATGGTTTATGATTTACTGGTCTGTAATTTAGGTTTTTTTTCTGTACTATTGTAATGCTTCACATTTTTAGCCTTCAATTTCTACACTTTCATTTTAATTTTTTTTTTCCTGAAACATTTGTGCTCTGTGTATATCTGTTTTTTTTTCCCTTTCACTCTATCCATAACTCGATCGATATGAACATACTCGGGATGCATTTGAAAGACACGATAGATAGTGTGTATAAACAATCGACGACACGATCATTTTTCTCTGTCTATTTTTTGTCGCTCTCACAGTAAACTTCGAGCGCATTAAAATGGCAGAAAAACAGCCAATCGAAACAGCATCAAAAAAAAACTTTTATTCCGGTTGACATCAAAAATACCAACATGTTTAGAATGTGCATCATGCATTTAGGCTGTCACTCAATTTGAATGAACGAACCGAACGCGACGTAGTGCGGGTGCGAATTCATGAGCGCGTTCGTGTACACATACACACATTTTATAAAGATGTTGTCATCAATTTTAGTTTAGAATTTATTTATTTTTTTATTTTTTTGCTGAAAAGAATTTATTTTCCATGCCTGGATTTATAAACCAGCACACATTATATCCATGTATGACCTACCATATGTGCTGTGTGTATACGACGAGCAGAACTTCTGCGTGAGCGTAATGAAACTTTATTTCAATGTTTACCTTGAGCATGTTAAAAAAACATATTGTCTTTGGCTATAAATAACCAAAAAAATAATAAATAATTTATTGATGTTCAGTTTCGATTTGAACAAAAACAACAAATGACGTTATATTTGTGTTCAACGCGTAGTTACGGTGTGCCTTCCATTTTATTATTTTTATTTCGATATCGTAACAGATGCATATTTAATTATGAACTGAACATTGAACTACTATTCGCCAATGACATTCTATCATAATTTCTATGAAATGAGAGAAAAAAATATCGTTTCGAGTACAAACATACTACAAACGGGTCAATGCTCGCAAAACATTGGATTATGAATGAACGAAATGTCCATCAAACAAACACATCCATCTTATGTGCCATAATAAATATAATTTTGAAATTATGCTCGAATATGACAAAAAAGAACTTTTGACAATCTGACTTTGGATCAAATCGTTTATTCATTTTCAATCACATTTTTTTCAATTACCATAATTTTTTTTCCATAAACACGTTGTCCTACACACTTGAACCATTTGAAAAAAAAAAACGATTTTTTTTTATTCTTATCACTGTTTCTGGATCTGATACAATTTAACACAACGGTGTAAATGTTTGAATTTTTTCATCAAAATCCGTAAAATATTAAATTAAATTGCATACAATTGATAATAATCGGTAAAGAAAAAACGTTCCAATTTGAAAAAAATAATGCACGTTCCGAGAGTGGACAAAACAACGTCAACTGTTTATAAAAATGAGCTTTCAACTAAACATCTCCATTCAATTTATTTTGACTAACGATTTTTTTTAAAAATATATATGGTTGTATATATTCACATACATGCACGTAACCATCAGTGTGGTCACATACACATATGCCCGCACTCTTGTCGCATACACTTGATGATATTGAAACAGCTCATTTACATTAAATGGTTCGGCAGATCACATATACAAATGTAAAAATCGTGCGGGTGAGCGCACAACGGACTCGCTATCGGTTATTCTTATTCAATAAAACGGCGGTGCTCGCGGTTTCAGCCAACGAATGCGCGCACGCACCAGCGAAACAATCAAATGGTATAAAGTTATAGTATGTTACAAACATACAATACAAACATAAGCAATTTTTAATCGATTATACAAAGAGACACAAACAAATATCGTCTGTATTAGATACAAATTGATCTGATGAATTGTCGCACACCAAGTGTGTGTGTGTGTTTGTTTATATATATGCTCGGTTGGGTGTTATGTGATGTTATGCATGCGTTTTTTTCTTCTCTTCTACAATTTAAGTCAAATCAATTGTTTGCGTTTCATCTTAATTATCTGTATGTTTTCATTTTAGATTCTAATGAAGTAAGTGGGTGAAATTGATTGTTTTTGCATTTGTTTAAACATCAACGACAACAATAATTATAAATCATCTTACATACAATTTACTTGGTTCTCATTCAACGCACACCAACAAATTATGCAGATGATATTTGGTTTTTCGCATGCATGCTGTAATTTTTTCTTCTTCTTCTTCGGTTTTATTTAAAATGTGCCTCTTTTCAAGTTATACATCACATACACACTTACAAATATTGTGGTCGATGGTTGATTTTGTTTTCTCTTGTTTCTTTCTCTTGGTTTCGTGTCTAGTACGGACAAATATAAGGCTATTAAGCGAATTATGGCCATTTATAAATAGATGACATTTTGAAGTGAAAGAAAACACAAAAAAAAGAAGAAACAAGGGATTGGTGCAAGCGATTAGTTTCTTAAACATTTCAATTTACACAAATCGTTGGTGGATATTCACGTCATATATTATTTCAGCTTTCTTCGCCTATTATTTTTTTGTGTGTGAATTTGATTTGGACGATGGAACGAGAAAATAAATTTTATTAAGCATACACATCAGAAGAATAAGCGAAAAAAAATGCATATACACAATGTGCCAAGCCATAAATATCGATGTTTATGGGAATCTTAGACTTTCATCATCGCACCAAAACTTATTTGATGGAAATAACACATACTCTCACTCTCTCCTTCTTGTGTGCGTGTTTCATTTTATTTCAGCACTTCGCCAGAACTGAATAAATATGCATAATTACTAACTTGACGAATAATACATGCTTATTAGAAATCTCTATGAAATCACATTTGATATGATTACCAAGTAATTTGCGACCACAAACTTCCCGTGAGAAATATGAAAAAAATTATGATGACGTTCATCGTTTTTGAATATTCTCCAACGTCCAAATCAAATTTGAATTTGGTGTTTCATTCACAAACACACCGACACTCGTATTTGACAGATGAATGCATTGAACGCGCTCAATGTTGACTGTCACAAATGACAGGCAACCAACAAGCATTGTATATTCTGACAATTGTATCCATGTGACAATTAACTCTAACCGTATTTCACCATAATATCAATAAGGTACACAAAATAAAAGAAAATCATTTGGATATAATAATTGTGAATTTATTTTTTTAAAGAATTGTATTTTAGTGGTGATGATGTTGGGTCGATTTGCTGTTCGTGGCTTCTCCGTTCTTTCGCCGTACGTGCAGAAACAAAGACATACTGTGAATTTTGTGCCAGTTTTTCGTTTATTGAGTCAAACACCGACATTCAATGTTTCAATACAAAAGGATGACAAGGATTCAGATTTGCTCTTTGATTTGGGTGGCACATCAAATCCGGACAATAAAACCAAATCCAAAAATGCGAACAAATCTAAAACAAAAACAAAGCCCGACGGAAATGTGCGAAAAGGCAAGAGTGAACCGAGATTGGCAAATAAGAAAAACGTAAAAACCGAGAAAAAAGAAAAATTACCGAAAATAAAAAAAGATCGATCATTCGAGCAATTGAAATATCATGATATTGGATTGAATTTAACATATGTGAAATTACCGTTTCAACATCCTGGATTGGAGAATTTAATGCTTATGCTGAAATCGCGTAAATACCGAAACCAAAAGAATTTGTTGTTGATCGAAGGACGACGATTAACATTGGAAGCAATTGAAGCGGGCTTGAAATTGAAATACGTATTCTTTAGCCATTTAAAACAAATTGAAACGATACGAGATCATATTGAACCGGCATTTATGAAAGATACGGAAATACTTCGTGTGCCACACAATGATTTAACGTATTGGTCAACGTTGACCACATGCCCCGGACTGATAACAGTGTTTGAAAAGCCAACAGATATGCAAGAAATTTGGGATAATGTTGTTCGAAATAAATTGATAAAATTAAAATCAAACAAACAACAGCAAAGCGTTGAACAAACAACGGAATGGTCTGAATTGAATGAAATGCTTGATTCAGATCTATTTGATCCGGTACCAATTACAGTAATTTGCGATCAAGTTCGTGAGCCAAATAATTTAGGTGGTATTATTCGAACATGTGCTTCAATTCCATGCACAAAAATCATTTTGTTGAAAGGTTGTGCCGACCCATGGGATATCAAAGCTTTACGCGGTGGTTGCGGTGCACAATTTCGCATTGAAATCGTTGGGCCGGTGGAATGGGAAGACTTACCACAACTTTTACCCAAAACTGATGAGGTTTCGGTTTTTATTGCTGACAATCGGGTGCAAGAGGATAGTACAACATTACCGTTCGATGAATCGGATCAAAAGCGTAAAGAAAAAATGGTGAAATACATTAAACCCAAAGTTTATAGTGATATACCGTTTTCCAATTGCAAGCACATCGCATTAGTAATCGGCGGTGAAACAGAGGGAGTTAGTAGTCATGCATTGGATTTTATGAAATTTGTTACCTCGCACACAAAATCTACAACAGCAACAGCAGCCGCAGCAGAAACAGAAGAGACAACATCAACAGAAGCATCCACAAACACGGTGGAAAATGACATTACAAATGAAACAAATCCAGAAAATATTCGACCCGATAATGCGGTTGTGAAAATACCATTGGGCAACGGCGTTGAAAGTCTCAACGCAAGCGTTGCGACGGCGATTCTTTTATTTGAAATGCGAAAACAGTTGATAAAATAAATTAAATAAATTGTATACTTAGTGGTTTATACGAAAAAAATAAAATGTTATATTGTAAAAGGCGTTATCGTTTTATTTGAGTGTCATAAAATGTAATCCATTTTCACTTGAAATGTATGATATAAATTCAAATTTCATCGGTGGGATTTAGTACAATGTAATGTACATGGGATGTTTCAGTAATTACTTATTGCCAGAGATCTACAAACGAAAATAGCGCTGTCTTTAACGTAGATGAAGACAGAATTCTATGCTTCCGAAATATGAGCGAGACAATCAAGATTTCGAGCGTAAATAGATGCAAATTCATAAAAAAATTGTTATTCGTTGATAGAAATACCATAACGCATGACATGGCTTATTTGAAATTTTAATCACAATTTGAAAAATGTCTTTTAACATAAACGATCCAATTAAATGAAAAATCCGTGCGTCTTGAATTTGATTTAATATTCTGTTGATAAATTTGAAGCAAAAAAATATACATTCAAAACGAAGAGAAGGAACGAAAAATAGAGAAAGACAACCGAATCGAAATGATTTTATGTGTGAAAAAAAAATTGAAATGTAATAGAGAATTAGTGGTCAGACGCACACATACATACATAGAGCATAGATTTTGAACATTAGATGCATATATACATATATAGATACATTGAATATTTTACCATTGTTCAGCTGTTACCGCATTACATATCTAAAAATGGTTTGGCTTATTTAAAATTACATGCGAAATTCGATAGCGCACATAGAGCTAATCCCTTCGCTCTATTCATAGTAATTACAAAAATTTAACCGAACCAAATTCAACGACGACGATGTCATCGGTGTCGGCTGCAAAACATCGCTCGCTGTCTGTCTGTTTTTCTCCTTCTCTCTCTCTTTCTCTCCATCTATGTGTGTGTGTGCGTCTCACTCTCAAATTTGTTCTCGGTTTCAACGTTAATTCACCGATTTCTGCATTCAAATTGTAAATCGTCCCAAATCTGAAAAGATTAGTAAAATAATCAGAGCAATAATTTTCTTCAAAGCCAATTTATTTATCTATTATTTATTTTACTTTTACAACATCGTAAAATAGCTCGAAAATAGTGTCTTATCGTCATCGGCGACGTTGTAGATTGGGTTGCGCAAAACCAATGCGGCTGACTTGATGTTTGTACATTGACACTTCAACTCCCCGTTCAAAAGAAGAAATTTTACAATCAATTCAATGTAATTAACGAGGCCTCTTTCGGAAATAAATGCCTGAAATTTCAATTAAAATGCGGAACAACGACAACAAAAGATGTGCAGTGCACAATTTCACTTATATTTTATAGAAATAGCCAAATGAAAATGGCCCAAGACATACATATCGTTCGGCACGGCACGTACGTTGTTTATATGAAATTATGCTAAATTCACACGCGTTATGCCGTTGAGAAAAGAACACACAGATAGTAATGATGCAATTCATGTCTCGGGGGTCTAACATGTCATATTTTTGCATGCACTCACTGTCATGTCAGCCAAACAATTTAGCAAAAATTAGCAAATTAATTGCGCTTATGAAAATGAAAAATATTTCACTCGCACACAGTTTTAAAGCATGCATGCCAAATGCCTGCTCAATTCTGACACTCAGATGACAATATTTATGAATCGTTCAAAGTTGAGACTCGTAAAATTTAATCTACATTTATTATAAACGGAGACAGAGAATGAAGATGAAAAAAAAAATAATAATAATGTGTGAACGATTTGCAACTTTTCAAGCATTTTTTTTAAAATATGATTTATTATTATGTGATATGTATGGCATTTAAGAGATTTTCTCCGCACATTTGTAATCTATTCGGAAATGTTTTTTTTTGTGTTTTTCTCAAGTTATGTGCGAACCTTCCGAGACTTAGGGGAAAATACAACTTATTTATTATTTTCATGTGTTGGGATAGGTTCTGCAATTATTTAATAGCTTTTATATATTATGAACTCCTACATACATCGTTCTACAGATTAATCATTCAACTGTTTGGTTTTGTATTGCATGGTCAAAATTCAGCTGTTTATATCCAAATCAATCACAAAAACCGACTTTTCGTGATCATTAATAACCGATTGTTGGATGAATCAAATTTATTTTCGGAAATGATAATGAATAATTGAATAAAGTGAATTATTTTTATTGACACGATGAAATAATGAATTAATATTGTCATTGCTATCATTGCAATTGCTTTCTTCGGATGCGGAATTTCAAACTTGTTTGGGTGTTGTTGTTTTTTTGGCAAATGTATCATTTGCACTTGAGTCATTTGCTATAGCCAATTTGGGAATTGTTACGTTCAAAATATAATGAGTGTGTAAGCTTGCGCGCGCACCGGGATATGTACGATGCTGCATCATAACAATGATGAGAGAGTAAACAGTAAAACAAAAACTACAATTCTAAATTTGTAAGGTAATGACGACGATAGAAATGCAGCTACGTTTGCCGTGAAACTAAATCAATGCACTTACGAAATAAAAGTGACGTTATATGGCATCAAAAGAGCCATACACCTACCAATACATCGTATGTTTTTCTTAAATTGTACGATTAAACGGCGCGCGCTTCAATATATCCCTGCATTCGACGACATGTACGAAAACATAGTCAAAAATAGCCATGAATATTCATCGATGATCATGGGCAAAAACTAATAAATGCACCAACGGCAAAGATAAACACGAACGGATCGCATCATAGTATTACACACCAATTTATTGTTCAGCAGTGAAAAGAATGCGAATCCCTAATTAAATGAGGCGGAAAGAGAGCGAGAGAGTGAGAGAGAAAAGGAGTTTTCTTGTGAGAGTTTTGTTTTTCATGCATGAATGAGCTGCAAAGCTGAATTTTCCACTGCGATGAACCAAAAATCATTTCATTACACTCGAATGCCATTTGAATTTTTTGAAATGTTTTACATGCATTATTTTTATGCTCACTTTATTGGCATCACGATTTATCTGTAAATGTATTTGAATGCATTGATTGCTTTCCGATAAAAGCAATTAATCGAAACCGACCACACTCGCTGACACCGACAATAGATGATTCAATGACAGATAATCCGATTGATTCACGAATTGATTACGAATTAGAGAAACCAATACAACTGTATCAATTTTATTGAGACGGCACTTTCTCATTTGTTTCGATCCATCTAAGGATCGTTTCTATTTCCAGATACAAATAAAGCGATCGACTTTTCGCATTACATTCGATTGATTGGCAATATAAAAGACAATGATCAATTACTTATCGGTTCACTTTGTGGTCGTTGAGTGTTGCAGAAAGTAGTACACCAGTGGATCAAAGCATTTTCTGCCTTTTCATTTTTAAGGTACATTACAAAATTCAAGCATATTGAACAATATCGAATACGAACAGGATTTTAGTGCTACGAATACTGTGTTTTGATTTTCACTTCATTTGATTGGATGTTTTTCTCACAAGTGACGTGATATTTCTTTTGACATAAAAAAATGGATACACAAACGAGCGATTCAAGTGATTATTTTCTCTGATTCTCATCCAAAAGATGATTATTTGAAATGATTGTTGTCAGATGAAAGTTTTTCTAATCCATTGAAATAATTAACAAATGAATTAAATGAGATCAAAAAAAAAAAATTGTAATCGAAACTCAAAACATACATCGAAAATTACATAGAAAACTGCTGTTGTTTTCTCACTTTCAAATCTTGTGCGTCTTAATGAAAGTGATTTCAAATTAAAAATATTGTGTGTACGAACCCCATCACTTTCTTTTATCAAATTATTGCCCAGCATATCAAATACATGGCTTTCCGTATCTAGATTGAAATCACTTTCATAGAAAAAGAAAATTTGTCGTTTCAGTTTGGATAAATAAAGTAAAAAAAAAAATAATAATCATAATTTTTGCATTGATTTAGGTTGCGAAGCAAAAAGAAAGCTAACAAAAATCAGCCAAAATGTGTGATGATGATGCAGGAGCATTAGTTATTGACAATGGATCGGGCATGTGCAAAGCCGGATTCGCTGGTGATGATGCACCACGTGCCGTATTTCCATCAATTGTTGGACGACCACGTCACCAAGGTGTGATGGTTGGTATGGGCCAAAAGGATTGCTATGTCGGCGACGAAGCTCAAAGCAAACGTGGTATTTTAACACTAAAATACCCAATCGAACATGGTATCATTACCAATTGGGATGATATGGAGAAAATCTGGCATCATACATTCTACAATGAATTACGTGTAGCGCCCGAAGAGCATCCAGTATTGCTCACTGAAGCTCCATTGAATCCAAAGGCCAATCGTGAAAAGATGACCCAAATCATGTTTGAAACATTCAATTCACCGGCCGTTTATGTTGCCATCCAAGCTGTGCTGTCATTGTACGCATCCGGTCGTACAACTGGTATTGTTTTGGATTCGGGTGATGGTGTCTCACACACCGTCCCAATCTATGAAGGTTATGCATTGCCACATGCCATTCTCCGTTTGGATTTAGCCGGACGTGATTTAACGGAATTCTGCATGAAAATTCTCACCGAACGTGGTTATTCATTTACCACCACCGCCGAACGAGAAATTGTTCGCGATGTGAAGGAGAAATTGTGCTACGTTGCATTGGACTTTGAACAAGAAATGGGAACAGCAGCTGCATCATCATCGCTTGAAAAGTCATATGAATTGCCCGATGGTCAAGTCATTACCATTGGCAATGAGCGTTTCCGTTGCCCAGAAGCATTGTTCCAACCATCATTCTTGGGCATGGAATCGGCCGGTATCCATGAGACTGTCTACAATTCAATCATGAAGTGTGACGTTGACATCCGAAAGGATTTGTATGCTAACACTGTTCTCTCAGGTGGTACCACCATGTATCCAGGTAAGAAATCATTAATACCTTCGAAATTATAGTTTCGAACGATGGTTAATGGGACGGTGGTTAATTTTTGTGGTATTGATTCATATACAAACAGGTATTGCTGATCGTATGCAAAAGGAAATCACCGCATTGGCACCATCAACTATTAAGATCAAGATTATTGCACCACCAGAACGTAAATACTCCGTATGGATTGGTGGTTCAATTTTGGCATCATTGTCCACCTTCCAGGCTATGTGGATTTCAAAAGCTGAATATGATGAAAGCGGCCCATCAATTGTTCACCGTAAATGCTTCTAAATGTGCTAAAACAACACAAAAGAAAATCATCGAACGAAACGTAATAATTCAGTGTTTTCTCATTGCGGCTTGTGTCGAGTGATTTCACACTCATGTACAGCTATCATGCCAAAGATCACAAATAATAATAAAAATTTCGTTGTTAAAAAGAAAAAAACAAACAAACAATTTTTACCAATTTTATCTCAAAAAAAGTCGAAGAATTAAGCAAAACAATCAAAAAAATTTAAGATTTCAGAAATAAAAATAATTTGAATGATGTCATTGTGACGAATTTTTTGTTCTATTTCATTAATATTCGTTGAAATATCTAGGCTAAAATTTACTTACTCGTGCAAAAATCATGAAATTCAATCGCATGACACAATTTACAAACGCAAGATGGGTTGATATTAGAAACTATTCTGTTAATGTCATTCAAATGCAATTCATTTAATGAGACATCGTATGTGTCAGTCTTGTCGTCGTTATTTCAACAGCTTTGCGGTATGTGCAACAGAAACATTGTCAACATTTTTTACTATACTAAACACAATAATAGGGTGAAGGCTTGGTTTCTATAAACGTTGCATATATTTTAAGCGGCGCTCGATCCCATCTTTTGAATTCGGTTTCGTATCAAAGTTTATCTCATTTGGGTGGTAAATTAAAGACCAGTGTACTATTTAACATCAATAAACAAATGACATTTGAAACAATTTTCTTTATTACATTCAATTTGTTGATTATATTAGATACATTTCATTTATTTGTACAAATTTCATCAAAATATACTAACATAATTATGACCTATCATTCTCATCATTTGGTTATTTTCATACATACTCTCTCTACCACAATCGAATCTGTATCAAATTTCATACGTCACCTAAAATTCTTTCTATCTGTCGCTCTCTTTCTCTCTCTCTGAATCTCATTTTCACTCCCTATTTTTTCCTTGCTAAGAGAAATTGAGTTGTTTTCTATAATTGAAATACATTCATAGCCTTTTCATATGCCCATGTAGAGATTGTGGATAAGTGTAATAGGTGATGATTTGTTCCCTCAAAAGTGGACTTATACAGTATTTGAAGATTTTCACAAGTTATCTGTCGTTAATATATGTTATTTTATAAAATAGATTTCTAACATAATCAAAAATAGATAGCATCTAGACGATTAGGAAGTTTTTTCTTCTTGTTTTTGAATGAAAATAGTATGATGTGAAAAGATTTTTTTTTTCTACAAGTTTCAAGTGAAATTGTCACAAAAGATGTGCACTTTTATTTTATTATTTAATAAGAGATGTGCATTTGTTTAAGTAATAGGTAGGTTAGTCTGATGGTGAATGCTGTCGGTCGCCATTTGGAGTTGTTTTTGGTACTGATGTTCCATTTGTGGTGATGCCAAATGTTCGACCGTCACTGACGCTATCTGGATAAATATCATACACGTTTTCAACAAAACTAGTTTGTATCGTCTACTTTTTTGAGGCGGTGAATGACCACAAACGGATGGAGTGAGATACAAGTGGAACGCCGAAAAACAGGAGATTTAATTGTTTTTGAGAAACGGGTATATAGAGATGGGGAGGGGGAAGAGCAAGAAGAGAATTTGGTGTGAGTAATTTTTGTTTTATAGAATTTGGAATGGTTTGGTGTGAATCAACATTCTGATCGAAAGTTCACAAGAAAACTCACATGCTTTTCGCGAAAACTTTTGTTACGATCGCGATGACTGGAAAATTGACATAAACTACGGGTATTTGGACTAATTGTATTAAGTCGTCCTCCAGTTGGATTAAAATAGCATGAATGATGCCTATATACATCACGATTACTGCATCGACACCGTTCCAACGCACTCACAAATTCACGACGAAATTTCCCTACAGAATAATGACAAGATAAAATGAATTTAAAGAATAAACAGAAACACATTTGCAAAATCGAACGAAATACACAAATCTCGTTATGACGCAAATTTTATAACAATATAATGAAATCTGGTATTTGCCACTTACCGCTCATAAAATTATAGATTAATGGATTTACGGCACTATTTGCATAACAAAGCCAATGTGAGATTAATGATAATATCGCCACGATTGTAGTTTGTTCTTGTTCTATAGTATATCTATTGAAAAAAGATCCAAAGAAATGAAAAAAGGTGAATAAATCCAAAGTCCATTCCAATGTTTTATGTATTCATTTTCACTGTGCCAGAGTTGATTTCATAAACTAAATTTTATTTTACGCATTTTCGTAATCAACTATGCCGGATTTAAGAATTCTTGGCAACATCACATTCTTTATTATAATTTGTAAAACTGCCTTATAATAAGATTCATAATCCGATTAATTACTTGATGACGACCCTTGTTACGTTTAATATGCACCAAATATATATAGCGTTTCGGTTTGCCATTTATTCATCAACTGCTGGATACCTAAATATTTGGATAGCTTTGTTTCCATAGCAAAAGAATGGAGAGGGAGAAGTTCCGTATTTTGAAAGCTCTCCCTCCATCACAAAACCGTCCTGGTTTTGTCTCAGTTCGCAAAATGGAAACATTAGGTCTTGCTCCCTTTGAAGTTTTCAAAGCTTTTGATTTTCTATGGTCCAGAAGTCTACGCACCTCTGTTTTTATAGTGATTAGTCTCATTATGGAGATTTCGTTAGTACGAAAATTGTCAGTAACCGTATAATTTTATTTAAAAAAAACGAAGTAATTGTAGAAAGTTCACGCAAATTTAATAAAACTTCAAGATTTCAGTTCAAATTAAATCAATGTGGCTGCAAGTGTTCACAATAACGGGCTACAAACGTTAAAAAAAAAAATAAAGTTCATGATACACCTACCTCACGATGTTTAATGTATGTACGGGCAAATAACAAATGGCAAACATAAGCACGACGACCACAAGCATTTTGGCTGCTTTTCGTCGAGCTCTCAATTGACTCAACGTACTCGAATTGGCCACGGTGTTGCGTGAATCTGTCAATATACATAACAAAAAATAAATGTTAACATTGTATAAATACAATAGATAAAATATCCATTTGGAATAGCGAATTTTCGGAAGAAGAAAAAAAGACATCCATAATTTAGTACTCACGGACTGTGTGCATCTGACGGTGATTACACGATTCTCGATGACCCGGAATCGTATCGGATTTCCATAAAACTCGGATGATTTTGAAATATGCGATCGACATAAAAAATAATGGAGCCCTACAAAAACAAAAACAAAAACAGTCATAACGAAATATAAATAAATAAATAAACGAAGAAACAAACGAAAGGAATAAGATAAGAGTAAAATATAGATTGTTGACACACACATATCCAAAAGCATTACAATTCCTACAAAAACGATACCAGTCAAACATAATCTGTCTATTTAATGTGCGTACAATGTTGCTCATCGTTATTCTTCTCAATTTCTCACATACACATTAGCTTAAGTTACAAACACACAAATCCCGACAGTATAACGACCGGCATCTCAAGTATTTATTGATTTACAATAATTTCTTGGAAATTGGTTTCGCATTTGCTTTTCACATGGACATCTCACTGTCATTGAGATAAATTTACCCCTTCTACTCCTCTGACAAACACTAAACCAATTTTCATCATAAATCGTACCCGAAAAACATTTAAAACCATGGATATAATGAAATTTAGTATATGTCTTATCGGCCGATTTTGATGTGCTTACGTGATGATTGCCAATATAATCCCTTTTCAATAAACACGTATTATTAAATGTGATAACACGTTGTCGTAACGGTCGAATGACAAGTGAATCGGCACCATCTCTAAAACAACAGCAAAAAACGATATTATAACATTTTGCCATTCTTTCTCATTCATCTGCGAAGAAGGAGAAGAAGAAAAAATGAAGAAAAGTTGTGTTAAGCGTTCGAACACAATTGAGTTAGTGATAGTAACTCTTGAGCTCAACACATACAATACTCTCTTATTCGACTCAAGTTTTATTTCATAAAAAAATTCCAAATTTAGCACCTAATCGATAAATATGATATTTGCTCAAAAAAATTAACTAAATTGAAGACAAACGAGATCTCCTGTGTCCTTCACATGAAATCAAAATCATCGGAAACAAAGAGGAATACGATTTACGTTAATTTTGGATTCTTAAATTATTTCCGGAAGACGAGAAATTTTTCATTCAGAAAATCTTCTAGAGTATAAATTCTTTTATCAGTTGTAGAATTTAATTATGGAATCTTTGTATTACCACAAGAATTATTTTCAACCATTGCCAATATACAATGTATGTCATTAATTTTAAATCAGTAATAAGTGAGCATACATTTTTCAAAAGGAATACCTTCTCGAAAATCCCTATAAAAATAAACGGAAGAGGAAACGATTAGAATCAAACACCCTGAATAATTCAAGAAGAATTTACGCGCGAAAAAAAATTCTTATCGAAATCACGGGACGGGATTGGTTCAACCACCTCCTTCGCACATTATTGATTTTAAATGTATCTCTCTTGTTATTAGCAAAAAAACATATCTTAAGCATCAATTTTTAATCTCGGAAATCATTTTATTCACATCAATGAAGATTCTTGGATTTGAATACACTTTCGAAACAAAAAATGGATGAAATATTTACCGCGTATATATATATGTATATTTAATATACAAAGAACACCGGAACTGCTTAAAATATACAATGCACATTCCAATTTACTTTGATAACGAAAGAAAATTAGATCGAAAAAGTGAATTACTTTGAATTGGATTTGATTCGTTCAATTTAATTCTATTTAAAGATTTTGCAAAGCTCGAGTGAAAACTGGTCAGACTAGAAATATATCCTTTGAATATGTGCCTTATGCGCGCAGATAATTTAATCAAAATCAGAAGATGAAATGTGAGCACTTCCAAATAAAACATGGCCAAATGGATAAAAGTAAACATAGACAATTTTTGTTCAAAGTTTTTAATTTATTTTAAGAAATGGTGAGCGCTTTATGCATCTTAGGAATTCACTTTTGTTGAAAGAAGACAGAGAAGAAAATTATAGAAGCCTTTTCAACATTTTTTCTTTCAATCTGTGCAATTTTTGACGCAAGATTTCAAGGATTGTTGTCTTATCATTGTAAGAAAGTATATTGGATTTTTTTTAAAATAAAGTTCTTCAACATGACCAAATGTTCACTGGTATATACAGACATTGAACACAGTAATTTATATATGAATAAATTTTCAAGCGATAGCAAAGAAAATAAAATGTATTTATCAGGGGTGCTTTGGAATTGAATGATTTTGAATAAGACCCATGAGTACATTTTCTCACGCTCATCTATTAAATACATGAAAATGTACGGTATATACTGTAGTGAGTGTTCTCTAATCGTAAATAAATTGTGTGCTTGCTGCTGTTTCACACACTCATCCGAAAAATTTGTCTCATTCGTTTGGTTCGTTGCATATCGGGATATGAAAGAAACGTTAAAGGATTAAAACGAAGCGCTATGCTTTGTGTGCCACAAATGGTTCTTTTATGAGATTACGAGTGTGAGAAAGAAGAACAAAAAAAGAAGTAGAAAATTCTGACGCCACTGCTGAAGTTATTGAAGCGAGAGAAAATATACAAAAGGCGTGAACAAATCAAAAAGCTTTCTAAACATTGTGTTTTCACAGTTGAAAAGTGATATTTAAGACATGAGCATTGAACATGAACATTATTTGTGAACGAAAATTAAAAAAAAACAACAGATTTTGAATTTTATATATGTCATGGGGGATCGTTGCAATCTAAAGCGGTTCTTCTTTGATGTGGACAACAATATCCTTTTGACCAAAACACTGTCTCGTGTCCTTCTCGTGCTTTTAAGCGACACAATCCAATTTTATTTTCATGCAAATTGCTTGTCAAAATGAAATGTAAAAAAAAAACAACAACAATGACAAAAGACTCTTTTGTACAGAGACGACAACAATACTGTTACACAGCATATACCATTATGGTAATTTGGTACACTAAATACCACAAAAAAATAATTCCGAAAATAAAATGTTTTGTGAACTAAATAAAAGCGAGCAATTTCCCAAAAAAAAAATGTAGAAAGAGTCAGAGAGATAGCGATAAAGAATACTGTCTAAATAAAGCTGCTGAATGTTTGCAATTTTTTTCTGGTGGAAATGAGAATGCATTAGGTTTTCATTGCGCTCATAAGTTATGTCCAAAAAAAGGAGAAGCTGTTTCTAAGTCTTTGGAAAAACTGTTCAGTTTTTTCGTTACACGGCAGCTATTTAACATGCACACACAAATAGAAAGGAGTGAAACTAGAACACGGGAAAGTCCAAAACGAATCAATTAACAACTAAATGTTATGCTTATTTATTAGTTACAAGGCTTGAATCATCTAATGAAAATAAAAACGGACAAAAAAAAGTAACAGTGAACGAAAAAAGAATGTGAAGATTTGTTTAGGCGACGACTAAGTAACTTACAAATATAACAGGACGAAACGGGCAATGACGACATTTTTTTCGGTGTTTTTGTCCCACGTTGATACACACTGCGTAAATAAATCAATGTTAAATCGTAATTCTGTTTTCTTTGTTCTTGAGTTTATGAACTCAGGAAGGTCTACAGCAGCAGCAATGTAAGCATGAATTGTAAAAAAAACAGCGCCGCAGCCATGTCGGTCATGTTGAGCGGGTCACGATGAATTGTTGAACCACCAAGCAATGTGCAAAGAAAATACAAAATCTTGTAAAAATCAAAATCAAAATGACATGATTGAAGATGCACTGTTTTATCACAAATAACATACAGTGCGCAATCTTCGTTTAATTCTGAAATGAAAATGATGAAAAATATCGTCAAAACAAAAATCACACGCACACAAAGTGATAGGCGACAAAAATTAAAGAAGGTTCTGTATATAAATAGAAATTTTTCGTAACTGGGAAGTAAGAAGGGGGGTAAACATTATTTTTTCTTCCGTTTTTTTCTCTCCATTTTATAACGAAGACAATAAAATGTCATTTGACTACAACTTTGCTTTGAACGGCTTAGGATTAAATCAAAAGCCAACATTTCTGAAGAGGTCATACAACATCAACATTTGATATGGCTTTATTTATTTACTTGTTTCGTGCCCATTCAACAGTTGATTCAATAATATTTTTTCTTGATAAATATAAACAAACCGAATTCATAAAAATGAAATATGAACTCTACTTGCTGAATTTCGATGAAAACACGTAGATAATGTTTATCAATATGAAATTGCGATGAATTCGACTGGACTGTAAATTGTATGGTATGAAATAACGGAAATACAATCAAAAAAAAGAGTCGCCTTTAATTTCGGTTCGTTGGTTTTTGTAAATATAAATTCATCATCAAAACGGAATAATAATTAAATTCTCCTTCACGGCACAATTAAACAAGGCATGTCATTAAACTCAATCGCTTAAAATTCTGAATACTGAAAATGGTAGTGCAACCGTTCCATGAAAAACCATTCGATTATATTTAAATGCGCTTTTATGTGGAACGCTCGATTTCGTGTGCGTGTAATACACTTTTGTCTGAATAAGTGTGTAAAAAGAGCTAATTAAAACGAACAACAATAAAGTATCAAAAACTGAAAATTTTCAAGTGTGAATAAACTTTGTTCACTTACCCGACACCAATGCTGCAATCCATATTACCCCAACCGAGCACCAAGCACGTCCATTCGTCGAAACATAACGAAGTGGAAAGCAGATTGCATACCATCGATCAATTGAAATAAATGTCAGTGTCAGCACAGACACCGTAACGGAAACCGTCTAAATATAAGGAGAGTTTGAATGAATGAGAAGAGGAAAAAATAAAACAAAAAAAAAAAATCAAATAACAAAATTTGATGAATAAACACAAATACCAATGTCGATAACATAAGAAAGAAAGTAAATAGGAGAGCCAATAATATCAATAAAAAAACAACTGCTTGGCAAATGAAAAACGCATTTTTGCCATTGACTGAAAGCCGAACCATGATTTTCAATGTAATGAGCAAATCTGTAATGGCATCGCCCAAACTGAAGTGACGTAAAACCATAACAAAAATAGCAAAAATACAAAACAAACACTCAACGAGCCGATACAAGACGATAAAAAGTAAACGTTTCAAAGGAAGTTGATCCGTTGTGACCATATTTCATCAATTACGATAAATTGACTCTTCAACACAAATGCCTGTAAATATACCATTCAACAAAAATCGGCTACAATTAGACCATTTCATGTCTCACACACAGGTTTCTCACGTCTATTTGACGTCATCACATTTGTTGTGCTTTCTAGGTGAATTGTTTGTTATTTCAAAAAAAAAAAAGGTCCGTCTGATGTATATTGGAATTGAACCTCTTTTTTTTGTTGAACTTTCAGTTCGAGTGATTTGATAAGAAAATGGTTTACTCACTTCAAATCAATTCCATCCATTTACATTTCCGATATGAACCAAACGATATCATGACCTATTACTGTAATGATTTATGCACATTTTATATGCGACAGACCGAATTAATGCGAGAAAAATGCACGCACAAACAAAGCACAATGCAAAATTGAACATTTGGTATGTTTTCGCTTCGAACATTTTAAATATCAAACTCTCATTCCACATTCTCTATCGCATTCAAATGGTTCATGTTTAATCTATTCTTTTGATCATCTAAATCACCCATGCAAATTTGGAACGCGCGCATTTCGAATAATTTACTGACAGAGCGAGAGATTTTCCGAATGAATGCCAGATTCAAATTGCATTCGTTCAAATTGCGTTTCAAGACAGTGGATAATAAATAGATGCTTAAATTTGAACAAATTACACAGCAGCATATTTCCAAATATTACTCTTTTCACTGGTAAATCCATCTGAATCAACTTTCGCCTGCGACATTCAAATTGATTCTTGTTCTTTTTTCACCACTGCCCCCCTCGCTATCGCTTTGGTCGGGAAAAGGCGATAGAGAAAGAGAAAATGATAGCGAATGTTGTTCTTCAGCGATTTAATTTAAAAGAAATGTGAAATAATATTTCACTGCTGTGTGTGTACTTTTATTACAATTTGCAAACTTTTTGTGCGTTTATATATATTCGTCTGTGCAGGCGGGGGTGTCTGTGATAAGATGAGCATCGAATCTAAAAGTGTGTTAGAGGAATTTTGAACGAGATAGATAGAGAATAAGAGTAATGATTTTTAAAACTGCTATATGAGTTCTCGGATTTTTATTAGACATTTGCGAAAAATAAAATGTCTGCAAATGAATGTTGTCGTGTAAATTATCCAAGTTAACGTGCAAAAATGCCAATTGCTTTAAAGCACAATAGGCGCCAGAAAAGTTTGATAAAGTGTGTGTGATAGAGAGAGAGAAAGAGAGAAAACGATATTCACACTGAACTGCAGCAATTTGAAGCCGACGCCTGGGAAAAGTTTGAAAATTAATTTTGGTCCATTTTGTAGACGAAGTGCATTTGGTGCGTAAATATCCACTTCATTTTTTTGGCTGTGTAAAATAAAATACTACGATGGCTAGTACGCCGATATAAATCAAAACAACATGGTAACACCGTGAAATATCCATTTATTTGTTAACAATAATTGTGATATTATAAACATGTGTTACGGCGCGTTGCGTAATTAAATGTTTACAAAATATACTTTCTTCACTTTGGAACACCTGAATCAATGTTTTTATTTATTTGTTTCTTTCAAAACATCCCTCTAACAGCACAAACAAAACAGTTTTATTTTACAAAATAAACACAAGAGCAACGTAAAAAGATCACGCGCACACACACACGCACACATTTGCATGGATCCAGTAATGAATAATAAAACGTCCTAATTTGGGGCCACAAAAAATTCTGGACACACAAAAAGAGAGAAAACATTTTAATGGAGCATCGCAGTTTCAAACGTAGTCTGTGTACAGTGTACGCACAATGAGAAATGTTCATTTAGTTCACGACTTTACCGAAGGTTTGGGCAAATCTTATTTTGATACAAAGTGACTAGGGGCTTTCATGTAAGAATTTCTTTCCAGAATTCGACGAATAAACAATAGTATAACAAATCATACCGATTTCACTATTTTGTGCCAAAAATCCACCGATATTGGCCGATATGCGAAGTGTGTGTGTTCTGGAAGTGTGCTTTGGTGGATCCTCAGGATGGGCCAAGGGATTGTCAAACCATGGTCTGGTCCATCCAGAGGATCCACCAAAACCCACTTCCAGAACTGGGAGCGGTTCTGATGATCCACCAAAGCCCACTTCCAGAACAATTAATTATCAAAAAATACCCGAATTTAACCGATATTTTACAGATATGCCGATACTCCGCCGATATTTCAACGATATGCCAATATGCAACGATAATACAAATTTCATCCAATAAAAATACATGAAAACCCCTAGCAAAGTGAGCAACAAAAAACAAAATAAAAAAAATTGCCTAGTATGATTCGCGATTATGTACCGCCTGCTATGGCCAATCTAAATAATAGTACATAGAAGACGAAATGTTGTGCTTTTTTTTCTTCTATGTATCTTTTTCTATGACCTAACACAGATTATGGCACCCAAAATTGTGTATGGATTCTATTTCACATACAGACAGAGAAGTAATACAATGAAAACTAGATGGCTT